GCACACACTCAAAATTATCGCCTAGACGCCCTTATCACATCCCAAATGACCTCAGCCAGTTCCTCTGAGCGTGGAGGAGCAGCAGGTCTGAACTCCACCTGGATACCAGATGTTCTCGTCTGATCTCAGACAGCAGGTCCCGCTCCCATGTGAGGAAAACCTATTCGGTCATCCTTTTGTTCGTTCTGGTCATTAGCCACTCATGGCCAGAGAAGCTCTCCTCTTTCGCTTTGAGGGAGCAGACGTTAACGGCAGCTGAAACACAGCCAAAAATCAATTCAAATGAGTGCTGTAAAGGTGCCAGACGGACAGCATTACCTGTAAGAAGCATAATTTTGACCTCCAGATCCCAACACCAGATTCCTTCCTCATCAAGCTCCAGCCTTCATGTTACATTGGCAAACCCCCCAGCTCCCTGTTCATCTAATAGGGAAAAAAATCTTGGCAGATGATAACTGTATTGATCCGTAAAACAGACCAAGATGATTTTTAATTCTACCTGGTAGCAGAATCAGAATTTCTGGATTTTAGAAAGTATGAGCTATTACCCTATTTTAAAAATAATAACTGTTTAATTCATTACATGCACAAACATATATTAATTACAAAAAACACCATTATTGTAGATTAAACTGTATGCTTAGTCAAAATGTGAGTTATCACATTGAGAAAGGCTAACATTTCTTCTCTGTTTACATTTTGAAAAACAACAGGAAGTTTTGGTTTTTTTTATTTTTGTGCCTATGCATCATCAGAACAGGTTTGGCTGAGGCAGGTATTGCTCTGAGCTGGTTAAGCGAAGAGAAGCAAACACCTTTCAAGGCTTTTGAAAAAGCACTTTAAAGGATGTTGTCATCTTGCTGTCGGAAAGCCGAAAAAAAAAAAAAAGGGTTTTTTAACACATTTTTTTTTGGGGGGGGGGGGGGGGGGCAACCATCTAAAAAGCAGTTTATGCTAAAACTGGTAGTTGTTTGAAGGAAGGGAAGAAAAATGTTGGTTTTCACTTATTTGACCCCAAGTCTAACATTATGGTGGTGATTTTGAGAACGAGCAGTATAATTATATGATCTAGGAGCAGATAATCAGGATTGCTGTTACTAACGTACCAGACCTCACAGCCCTCTTTGAGCATCTTCCAACTACAGAGCCGTAGATTTGAGGGCAAAGGGGAACGTCTGTTGCTTTTATTTCTGCTCTGTGTTGTGGTTGTATTTCACTTATTGTCCATTAAAGATTAATCAAGTGGAAAGTGTTGAGTATCGGAAAGCTGACTGAGCTGGGGATGTTTTTACAGGCTGCTGGATGCCCTACCGGTCCACTGCCCTGAGAATGTGGAGCTTAGAGCACATAAAGTCGTCAGGAATGTTGGAAAGTCGGTATGAAAGCAGCAAGACTGCTATGCCAGACTGTAACTATGAGCAAGAGTGGATAATGGGAGTGGCGTTACACAATCGGAGCGTCTTATTGTCATCTCACAAGTCAAAAGCAATAACAAGGAAACAGCGTAATGAAAATAAAAAAGAAGCGTTCAGCGAACCACAACTTTAGTCGGAAGATTCATTAGAGAAAATAGGCAGTGAATCTAAAAGGAGGGGAGTCTGTGCAGCCAGACCGTGTTTCAAAGTGTCACTTCGAGGAAGATTTCATTATTGTTTTGTTGCGGACGCCCCACATAAGGCAGGACTGCCCGGGAAAAAAGTCCTCAACAGCACAGCAAGTGATGCATATCAAATTCCCAGCAGCAACAACACTTTGTTAGGTGAGAGAGAGACAGAGAAGTGTGGTTAGAGCAGGAGGAAACGGCCCCAAGCAGCCACCGAGACAAAAAAAGAAACCCACCGAATAAGAAATACTCCTAAACACTTAGGGACTGATTTACAAGTAATCCATAGAAGGTTTAATAGGAAATTATCACCATGTGATTAGCACAGGAGAAGTCGGACAAAATAAAAAAACAAAAACAAACAAGAAGCCTGCTTGTTGAGAGTCCACCACCATGACCAAACAGAAAGCAAGAGTTCCATGTGGGAAACAGGTCCGGTGTAAGCAACACCATAGCAGAAAAGACTAACCGAAAGAAAGCCGTCATGTCATGACCGGGACATGTAGGAGACAACGGCTCCCCTCTTAGAGGGCTATTAGTCTCAGGCCAAGGCTATGGGGACTCTTCCCCTGGCACCCTAACCATATTGAGAAGTGAATGAGTGCATTAATACCTCAGGCACAGGAAAAACCCAGACTGGCTGACTACTAAGGGGGCCCGTGAGCATTGGCAGTTAACTCTAATGGCCCTCAGACAGGTTATCACAGAGCTGCATTGACATTTGGACCGCTGGAAGGTTTGACTTGCTTTAAGAGTGAATTAGACCAGAGATAAGTGCAACGATGAAACAGACATCATGGCGCATCACTAAAGTACACAGCTGCTCAGCAAGATGTTTATTTATTCTTTTTTTTTTTTTTACATGCACCGATTTCTCAGATCTTTTTATTCTCCAGTTTCCAAAGTTACAGAGCAGACTTCAGACGGAAAGAGTTTAAAGGAACAGAACAAATATACGATCAGAAGATTTACGCTAAGCAATCGCTCAGACAGGATGAACAGCTCATCCCCGTTCTCACCGCGCCAGCAAGGACGAGACCTTGAAGAAGAACCCGAATCAATGAAATCGAACTAATCGATGCCCGACTTCTAAGCCGCAAAGCTGATTGTCGAAAGCATTTAAAGTAACCATGCCAGAGAAATGTGAACCAGTCAAGATGAAATAGCCCTCCCGCGGTGAAAAGAGCCGGACGAAGGCAGGTAGACCTTTACCAGCAGCAACAAAAGGGAAAACAAGACTTTATGTGTGGGCTGCGAGCAAGAAAAAGAACAGAAGTAAGTACACGGGTTTGGAATGATAAATGGCATGGGGTGGACAGATAGAGACAAATGTCCAGTCAAAAAGAAAATGTCCAGTTGCCTGCAGCTGTGTCACGGCGGCTGCTGTTTAGTGTGGATGGTTCTGCTGATGGCTAGGGGAAATATGAATAGTTAGGCTCTATTGGTAATATTAATCACTAGAAATGTTCTTTTTCATCTTTGGAGGTTCCGGCTCTCCGTTGCCTGAAAGGTCAGAGCTGTCCAGACCGCTTTCAAATGGGTCGATAGAACAAAGTCATAGGTCAAACTTTACAGAAGTTTAACTCCGCCTCGCACGTCACACGCGTGACAATTCGACTGATCACTTTGATCCAGCGGCACAAAAGAGATGTTCGGTTATCAAAGCAGACGAGAGTGACCCCCGGAGAGGCTGAAGTGGCAGATCTGGAGAGAAGTAGCCGGAGAGAGGCAGGAAGGTGAAGCAACGAGCAGCCTTTAAATGAGGAGTGATGGAAGACAGATTATTTTCCACAGATGAAAGCCCCTTTTCATGTGAGCCAATTATATCATTTTTTTTTTCAGAGGGAGAATTGGAACATCTGGGTTTGCTGTGAATGGGTGAATAATGGCACGCCACACACAGGCAAACACAGGCGTTTGCCCCGTGGGCCGGCTGACGTCACGCCCGCTGTGAGTCGGGCGGCTCCCGACTGAAGATTAAAGCCCTGCAATCGCCAAAGGTGCTTTAGGGTTTTAAAGACGGACAGAGGCAGAACACTCCCATTTCATCATTAGCCTCTTCCAGCTGAGAGATAAGAGACTCCAAATTGTGGCTCCGGGCCTCAGGCCCCAGAAGACTCCCAACCTCTGAGTGACAGGCCCAAGCTGATTTACTCCCCCGGTCGACACGAGGATCAACATAAAACAACATTCTTTCACTGACTCACCACGTGACATAAAAATACTCCCATCATCTTTCCAGGAAGATGGTTTTTTCGGGGTTGGGAATGTTTATGTTAGAAGGAAGAGCTTCCTCTGGGTGGATTTAATATTCAGTTCTCCAAGGGCTCGGCTCTGCCACTGGTCATATAGCTGGCTGGCAGGAGCCGATCTGCCCTGAGATTGCTTTGACATGCAGGGTCCCAAGGTAGCTCAGAGCAATAAATCCATCCGCAATGGCAAGGGGGGGGGGGGCAGAGCAGAATCTTTGCCTCTGCTCCTCACTGCCTGACAGCCAAATCTCCTTCCTCAGCAAGATAGAAAGTCCCGTTCTCATTCTGATTTTTAAAAATACCCTTACACTGATGTCACCAGTAGTTGGTATTTAGGGTGAATCGGGATGTTTATGCATTGATCAGTGCTTTGAGAATTCTACTGAGGGTGGGGAAAGTCCTTGAAATATAATCTGCAACATCACATGTCTCTAAAACCATTCGTTGTCATCATGATGGATGAACCTTAATGAATTGGTCGAGGAATGTGGAGTGACCAGCTGTGTAAACACAGGAAATGTTACCCCCCCACTCCATTAATGACTCATGAACTAACCAGATCAAATATGCAAACGATGTCAAACTCAACAACAAAGATGACTGTTTCCCCATCGACTAACCTCGAAAAGTGAAGAAATTCAATCTAAGAAGCATGCAGGTGACATAACCAAATCTAGGAATACGTCAGAAAACCCGCTTCCGTCCAAATCCGATGAAAGCACTAAACTGGTTACAGCAATTACTGGTCCCTTCAGGCCCATCCTGTCTGAATTAGCCGTGCCCTCACCCCCTTCTCCCTTCCGAGCCGCCTGACCCTGAGCTAGAGCATGGGAAGAGTCAGCCACACACACAGCGCGCCGCTCTGTGAGGAATGCAAACACAACACACACACACAGACATGGCTGGCACTGACGTCTCCCCCAAATCAGAAATAGCAGATGCCCCCAACTAAGAAAAGAAAGGGGCATCTTAAGTTGTCTGGGTCAAAGCAATTTGTCAGAGAGATGACTGCTGGAAAAGTTGTCCCATGCTCACAGCCAGGAACCGGCACCATGAAAGTGCTGGAGGGGGTGGGGGGGGGGGACTGATATGATGCCAGCAGCCTCCAAGAGACGGTGCACACAGAGATATGAAATTGCCTTACCTGATGTGTCCCACATATTCAGCTCAATCCGGTGCTTGTCTATCTCGAAACTGGCGGTGTAGTTCTCGAAAACTGTGGGCACGTAGTTCTGGAAATGAGAGATTTTATCAAGATCAGACCACCATGAAAAGCCACTGTTTACAAAGACATCATATTTAAGAAAAAAAATCTGCTGACACACACACATGATGGCAGTCCATTCTCACAGGATGGCTTCAATTTAAATCCTCTGGCATATAGGGTGCATTTATTAAGTGGCTGGCTGAGGAAAATCCATTCGGTTTCTGGTCAGGACACTTTTGAAACAGGTTTTGGATTCTTCTCCTCTGACAGGTGAATGTGACCTGCTGACTTAGAGCTCCAGTTGAGCTGTCCCGTTTCTGGGTTTCTGATGTATTCATTTCCTATTTCCCCTTCTGAGCAGAACAAAAAACGACTAAGTTCAGACTTTTGGCGGACCTACCTCTGGAAAGCAGTCTTTGGCAAAAACGTGCAGGAGCGCCGTTTTCCCACATTGCGTGTCTCCGACCACCACGATCTTACAACGGCTGCCGAGACTGTCCATGGTTAGTCCGTCAGGCGTGAGTTCTCAAGACGGGGTTGCGATTGCGTCCAGCATCCGACTAGACGCGCGAGAGAGATGGAACGCAGAGAATGAGGGAGAGCAAACGCACGCGTAACGCCGGTGCGCCTTATCCAGCCTCCGGTCCAACGCGCAGCCCCGTTCTGTCCAGCTGTCTGAACTGGTCGGCTACCGAAACCACACGCACGACGCGCACAGCCTCCCTGGAAACTCCGGTACTTCCATTAGTGGCCACGCCTTCCTGTGCGCGAATCAGACGTGTGGGGCAGAGCTGGGCAGACGTGGAGAGTCTGAGGCACACAAAACAGCCGTCGGCCCCTTTGTGTTTTTATCTCAGTATTTCAGAGATGGTAAAAGTAGTGACTGACTGAGTTGGGAAATACACAGGCCAGATGTTGACTCGCTATAAGGTGTCCAGATGGTGACAGAAACAAATGACTATATTAAAAAATGTGGGCAACAGGCAAGCAAGAAGGGAGGAAAAACTCATATTGAAACATTTTTCACAAAAAAAAACTCAATGTATGATCAGTATGATCAACAGATTCCTAAATAAAAACTTGAAAGTCCTCAGCTGATTGTCAGTCTTGTGTTATATTTGTGTTATATTTTTGTGGAAGCAGCTGGGTGCACGTGCAAAGACTCAGTATGCATTTGAACACATGTTTTAACTGTGATGTAATCCTCAAGTTTAAATGACACTCAAGTTAAACCAGTTTAGAAAACAAGTGTTTTCCTAATCCAATGGTTCATCTTCAAATATGTGATTCTTTTTTCTTTGTGTAACATTTAGCTGACTCCAGAGCGATGGTTTGTATGGCAATCACAGGTAATAACAACCCATCTCCTCTCACATCCTCTGGACTGCCTCTCGGTTTAGTGCTGGGATGACCTTTTAATGGCTATACAAGAAACGCGGCGTACCTGAATAAACAACTCCATCAAATTACCTAGTTGGAGGGAGCTGGGCTGCTTTTATGAGCCTCGTAGCCTTTAATTTAGCTGATATTGCTTGTAAATCCTCCAGCAGGGGAGTTAATGCTTTTTTATTATTATTTTATTTTTGAGTGAGATAATGAAATGACGAGACACTACGTGCCAGTCCCACTGTGAGTCATGCGCTCGTGCAGGAAGAGCCACACTGCCTCCCCCTGGTCGCCCATGGTGCAAAAAGCAGTTAAATATACGAGCAAGCAGAGCACGTCATCATGGATTATGAGACCTCATAGTAAATCCTTCATTCATAATTGCCACAGTAATAGTTCCCATTTGAGGAGCAGATGTTAGAAAGTCACTGAGCATGCTCAGAACCTCAGGGATGCGCTTTCCTCCATCAGGAGCATCACTGAACAGACACTGCTCATTTATTATTGATCCATGTAAGGTCATAAACTTTCTTTTTTAATTAAATGTATCATGCTGATTAGTCAAACAGTTGTTATTCATTGCCCGGATGGTTATTTTCTAAGTTATTTTGTAGGTGATGCTTCAAATGACTTAAAGAGTCATTTTCAGACCACATAAACAACTCTGGAAAAAGTCAAGAGACCACTGGAATTTTTCTTCAGCTTTTCCAGCACAGACACGCCCATTATTCCACTTCATGAGGGTTTGGTTGATTAGGAGGTCACTAAAATCTAATCTTAAAAAATAAAACAATTTTAAATCCAGTTGTCATTACTATCATCTTGCAAAATAAACCAGCTGGACGGCCACAGTAATGCTAGTGGAATCTCAAGAGTAACCGACAATAACAACAACAACAAAAAACCCTTCCACTGCCCAAAAAGCTCACTGGCCCAGTCCAGCCCTGCTACACTTTTCTGACATTTTTTTGAGCCATTACTCTTCCCGTTACACACTTTGGAATCAACTGCACAGCAGGTGGCAGTGTTCATTCAGAACCGGAACAGGCCTTTGGGCCTTTCAGCCAGGCCCAAAATCCTCTGACTGACAGCAACACTTTGGAATGATCTCAGGAGTGAAATGTGCAAAAACATTTCAACTGTACTGACAATTAGATTCCCAAAACGTTCGGGGATTGCTCGTGAAACGGAGTTTTCGTACATGTATGCAATGACAACATGTCGCAAATATCTTGTGGGCTGTTGTTGTTGTTTGCTTGTTTTCTTTTGACACTCTGTGTTTGGAATAAGCAAACCTATGGGGAAAGATGGCAGCCCACGTGGAGCAGTCGCACAGCACATGTCGGATATGTGAATGCATCTGTTCTTTCGGTAAACAGTGGGTGGTTTACAGTCACTCTGGTGCGGTTTAACACGTTCGCCTCCACCTGCCAGCAGGTGGGTGTAGTGCTCTGCATTGCCTGTTAATCTGTGCGCCTTTCCTCGTGGCTGTTTGATGCAATCAGAAGCTTCTTCTCTGCAGGAAGACTCATTAAATCAACACATTAAGAGGAGCAAGACATCGCTCAAAAGCAGGGTCAATGCAGCTCTGGTTTCTGGCCTCTTCTGCAGCTTTTTTTTTTAAAGAAAATCAAATAGGTTTCCTGGAGGGTTCAAATCTGTTAGCTAAAAGTAAGAAAGATCAAGAATTGTAGTAGTTTTACCTGTTGGAATAACCTGAGGTAACACAAATTATATGTGTTGTGATTCAATTCAATTCAATTTTATTTATATAGCGCCACATCACAACAACAGTTGTCTCACAGCGCTTTCCAAACAGAGTAGGACAGACCCTACTCTGAAGTTAATTACAGAAACCCAACAATTCCCACCATGAGCAAGCACTAGGCGACACAGGCAAGGAAAAACTTCCTTTTAACAGGCAGAAACCTTGAGCAGAACCATGGCTCAGTGTATGTTCATTCAGTGTATGTCGTGTTCATAATTAGATGTGGCTTATATATTTTAAGGTTGAAAAACCAGAGGACTGGAGCCTCTTCTGCACTAAAAGTGGTCCAGAATATTTCTTAGGAATATTTCAATAAAAAGAATAACATTTATTTTCATATTTGATGAGCGTGACCAATAAAACATTTAAGCATTGCGATAGATCTCGTCCATATTCCCCACAGATTAAATTTTATTAATTTAACATCGGCAGTAACGGTTCCTGATCGTTGCGTGGGGGAGATTCATATTGGATTTCTTATCATAGATTTCTTGTAAATGCCAGTATTTGCCCGGCTTTAATGGAAATTAAATAGGCGTGTGTCTGCAGTCCAGGCACACATCCTCAGAGACTCCCTGCAGACTCAGTGTATTTGCTCTACAGAGTGGTGACACAGTGCTTTATGCAGACTGATTACAGCACTGAGCAACATTTTGCACTCGATAACCTACTTAGACAACAGAAACAGTCTCCAAACTACACCAGGTGTCCACGGCAGCAGTTCTTTGAGCTCTCTGCTTTCCTTCAACCCAAGCCATTTCCTGTAACGGACAAATCTCGAAAGCAGTTCAACTGCTGAAGCACGATCAGATCTTCTTTTCCTGGCCACCCGGCGAGTGTCATAAAGAAGATATTTACATTCTGTTTTCCATCTGATGCTTTTTTCAGACTTCAGCTTGCACTCCGGCTCAGTTTTCCTGACTGTACCTCACTGATACATTGCTATACTCCACCTGCAGAGCCAGTGGGGGGAGAGGCCACTCTCTGGGCATCCACTGTGTCGTAATGATTAGTCAAAGTAGCTCAGAGCAGCTGTGAGGAACAGACACCTGCCACGGAACAGTTTGCTTATTCCAAATCAATACCGTCTACTGTGGGGGAATCGATTGGGACATTGCTGATGCTGGTTTCTGGATAGCTTAATGGCACTTTGAAGCCACAAGATGTCTCACTACTCCTTGTGTGGTCACTTCATCTGAGTGGACCCCAGATGAGTAACAGCTGTGTGCAGACTTCTTTTTCTTGACAATCCATCTCTCTGAGCGTTGCCATGATCCTGAAACGCGTGCTCTTTGCATTTCTTCCCCACCTGTTGCACGAAACAGCAGAGATGCAAATAGTCAAATAGAAACCTTGAATTGACCGACTGCTCCGGCCCCACCTGTGGACGGTCAACGGAGGGGTCACTCTGCCCTGCAGCCCTCAATCCAACCGCGACCGAAGCCAAGAAACACAAAGCTGATTGTTGCAGTTGGTTTAAAAAACTGCCGTGACCTCGACACAGACTCATATTTTTCTGAGCTGCCTGTGCGGGGAAGTTCCAACAATGAGCCGCGCGCAGGCCAAACGTTCCGGCAAATCCCTCTGCAGAATACGCCGCATAAACACACACTTCCTCTGATTTCTGGTGTGTCACAGGCTCACAGCTAAGCATGCAGCAGTAAACAGGCAACACAGGCCCTTCAGGCCAGTCATTTCTGCCATTTGGCCCTATTTGTGTCACCAGCGGGATTTATTACATCTGAGGGAGCTGAAACATCTCCTTTAGCAAAAAGTCACAGATAAAAACAAGTATATGTGCACAACAATCCATTTTCAATCACATCTTTGCACCTCACCTAATCATCAGTCAAAAAATAACCTGGATGATGAAGTTTTTAAGAAGTGTTGCTTCATTTGACGAGCTTCTTTGTCCTGTGCAGATAAAGGATTTTTATCTGTGTCTGCCTTTTAAGTCTAATGGATTTCTTTGCAAATCACCTAACGGATTGATGCAATCTGGACTTAATTTATTGCCCCGTGCAAACAGCCAAACCCAGCCAAAGCACGCAAGCCAATCCCTGAATTTCCTCAAGCTCTCCGTGTTTTCCAGCCCGCCTCTGTCTCGTCCCACTCACACTGTCAGAGCGCGGCGTTGACAGCCACTGGCCACTGATCAGCCCACTTTGTCGGGGTTTCTGTCTCCTTTGCGCGTCTGTCGAGAAACCAAAAAAAAAAAGGCTCCAGCTCTCACATTTTTCTTTGACTCGCAAGGCAAGCGCACGCAGTCGAAACAGCAAAAGCCCCAGTCTAATTCACAACAAGTGAAAAGTCTTATTTTCCCTGAAGCGCCACCCGTCTCGTAGCTTTCTGCACAATGTCTGGAGAGGACGCACCTGCCCAGCAGCAAAACGCCGTGGACCAGAAGCAGGAGACCAAACCCACCGAGGAGCCCAAGTCCGAGCAGCCCAAAACGGAACCTGCCCCCGCCGGGGCGGCCGAGGCTGCGGCCACCCCCGCGGCCCCGGCCGAGAAGGTCCCCGAGGAGGAGACCTTCTCCTACCGCGCTCTGGTGCTCACGGGCTACGGGGGCTACGACAAAGTCAAGCTGCAGGTGAAGAAGGGCAAGCCGGCGCTCAAATCCGGCGAGGTCCTGGTCCGGGTCAAGGCGTGCGGGCTAAACTTCGCCGACCTGATGGCCAGACAGGGGCTCTACGACCGCCTGCCCTCCCCGCCGGTCACCCCGGGAATGGAGTGCTCCGGGGTGGTGGAGGCTGTGGGGGAAGAAGTAACGGACAGAAAAGTAAGCAAACACAACACTTCTTTATTATCCTCTTTTCCTCGCCATTTGAAATGTGTTTTTTCGTTGTTTTGGGTGATGGTTGTTGCATTTGCCTCGTTTCGGGGTTTTTTCTGCTATACATCTGGATATGGGCGTGTCAGGCTCCGCTCGTCTCCCTGAGATGAGGTGGCCGCCTCACTTTGTCACTTTGTGAATTTAACAAAGAAAAAATGCTCACTGGGTTTATGGGCGATGCAGTCAACTCGACATTTGTCGTTGTTTGAACTATTTCAAATAATCGCTTATGCAGTTTGGCTCAGACGCACATGGTTGTTTGTCTGAGCCGTTTTTCGAGCGCAGAATAAACGTGGGACTCGTCCAAAAAGTTGAAAACACGTGCACCTCATGATTCATGCAATAGGAGTACTTTTTGTGTCTCTATGGAGTGGTTTAAATGTATGATCAAGTGTAAGTTGGGGTCTTGATTGCTGCTTTCAGCAGACGTCGCCCCCCTTTGGGTCCTCGTTTTTTCAGACCGTGCTGCGGGTGCGCACTAACGCCGGAGCACCAGGAGCTGATACAGAGTTTCTGTTTTGGTCTGACTGTTCCTAACAAAGTGTCTGTTGAAAGTCCAAAGCCACTTGGACACCGCAAATCTGCGGGATGTCTTCCATTCTGGCAGCAGCCTCTCCTCTGCGCTTTGATGTGCGCCACTGTGCGGAGGACTGCGTCAAGTCAGCCGGAGACTGACCGGAAATGAAGGTTTTATCTTCAAAATTAAACGTGGACACGATATTAAATCGTACAAAATCGGTCACGTTTGTTGGGAAATGATGAGACAAGAGGGTGAAAAGCCGTTTACATTACAGTATTAGTATTAGGCTGTAAATAAAATAAAATCCCCCTTCTGTTCAGGCTCACATGACAAAGGAGGCGCCGGTAATTATCCGCCACGGTTTTTTCGTCAGGTAACCAATGGGGGGTTTTATTTTGGAGAGCGTGGTGACGCAGCCGGTGTAATGAATATCTCTTGACACCGGTGATGAAGGTGGGAGTCACCGACGCCTTTTGTTACCGGGAGCGCCTGTGCGCACAGACGCACCGCGAGGAAAGGGCGAGGCGCGCCGCAACAGACACTGGGATGCAAGCAAAAAGCGCTGTTCAATTCAGAGAATAGATCTCATTCCATAAGTAATCCCGTTTAAAGATCACACGAGTGCTCCAAAACAAAATCACTCATAGTGGCACATTACTTGAACGCTAAAACCCAGTTAAATGGGGCTCCAGCTGAGAATTTGCAGCGTCTTTCTTACATTGCATGATGAGTCACAGGCCGAGAGTATATGTCTGTTTCCTGGCAGCATGGCATCACCAAGGTAACGCCTTTTCAAAAGCAATTTGACTACAAGACCTTAACAGTGATGACTCACGTTGTTCAACGTGAGGGAACCGTCGATCGTATATACCACCAAATATCTCTGTCTGGCACCAAAAAGAGCACATGGGCAGAACTGTTGCATGGAACTGGGAGTGGCACGTGTCAAAAGAGATCATACAGTAGATGGATTGGGATATTTAAATTAAATGATGGCCCTGCTAACAGCAGCCAGACATCACAGAAGGTTAGGGCCCTCATGTTTCCAGGTTACTTTATTGCTTCTTTCCACATTGGCAGTGATGCTGATTGGATTTAAAGGTCACAAAGCACACAGATGCAGACACACACAGCCTGTTGCCACACTCCCACATCCACTCGCAGCCTTTTGCTTATAGAATTAAGAGCCAATCTTCCTAATGGATGGAGATCTCTGGATCTTTTGGCAGCTAACTCAGAGGGAATGTGCTGACCCTGATAAAGAGAATATTTGGGAGGCTCACTCGCTGCTGCTCCAGCCTCCTCCTGCACACATATGCACACAAAGACATGCACTATAGGGTGTGTCTGGAGTGTGTCTGCTCGACAAAGCTTTAAACTCACCATGCTTTTTTGGAATAATGCCTCCTTTAAATTAGAAACTGATTTTCATTTCAACTTTGAGGTTTTATGTTTAATCATGTCTTAATGTGATGGTCTGAAAAAAAAGCATTTGACAATTATACCTGTGATGTTTTTTATCATCAAGGCAATTATTTTTCTTTTGAAATAAGAAATTACTGTATCTATGCTTTAATCATAGTCATATGTGATGGTTTCCTTTGGCCTTATATCTACTGTAGAGTTTGCTGCAATTGTCAAAATTCTGAGCTCCTGTCCTCTCTTCTTCATCACTTTATCACTTGCACGCTCCATATTGTGTCAGTTACAAGCCAGCCTTAAAGATGCCTGGCAAAGTTGAGTGAAGTGAGACTACAGCGGGCTCACCCGAAATGACCTAAGAGGGACTGCAGGGAAAAGTCTAACAGTGAGTAAGCGAGCCGAGAGCGGAAATATCACAAATCACACCGAGGCTCCCCTGATGCCAGATATCAGTCCTTCTCCCCCCACCGTGCCTGCTTTAAGAAAAAAAAAATTAAAGCTCTCCCCTGGTGAGTTTTGGATGGATCTGACCCATATGTTCTCAATTACCTCCTTCTGGCCCACATTGTCAGTCTGGTATTTCCTCCATCAATCCTTCCCTCCCCCTATCTATAGCTTCTTTGCTTTGTGTAATCCTCCCTCAACAACTGGACTATCAGTGAATCCTTCACTGATTTCAGCTGGCATGTGAACACTTGCTTCTGGGTGAGGAACACAATATTTGGGGTTCTCCCAAATGTGGACATTTTCAAAGTGTTACATTTTTAAATCCAGCTGGAAAACCAAGATGATGGGATTCTCATTTGAATGTAGATGGAGATATGTTTCGATCACAGCGACTCAACTCATCCGCCAGCTGCTTTTCCTGTAGAATTCCAACATTTAGATGAGAGGTTTCGATCTCAAATCACTGAGAAAGTTTAGACGTGCTAAAATGCATAATAGAAACATTGAATGATATCCAGACCAAGCTCCATTAGTTTGGTGGGATATGAAAAAAGTAAGTAACAGTTTTTTCTTATGTACAAGAGCACAAACAATACTGAAAATTTTCCATTTCTGCAAAAGGCAGTGTCTATACTTTGATTTGAGTCTGAATTGGGTGTGGCCTTTATCCTAACATCATATTTACAGGATTAAAGCACAATATCCCTTACAACACAGATATATTTCTCTCGCCCTCCTTGTGATATTCATAATAGGCACATGAGTTATGTAGGTGTTGCACTTGACCTTTAGCTTCAACTTTTACTTCAAACTGACTCAGTAAACCTGTATAGACAAAAAATTGTGCCCCCGCGATGCATTTTTTTGCTGAGCTCACCATAGCTCGCAGCCACAAAGCCAGCTGACTGAGGCCTGCATACCCCAAAATTGAATCACCATCTGATTAAGTCCATTCACATACAGTTAACTGGAAGTGTCTTTGTTCGGGCCCCTGCACTCCTGACCCCGGCTGTGGCTGAGTGCTGCACTGTGCTGGCAGAGAGAGGAAATGCATAGAGGGCCTGGGTGTCACGCCATGAAGATGTCGAAACAGAAGTGTCACAAGGCTTGTTTACCCGGCCTTAAAAGTTCGTTCCTTGTGTCTGTGTGGCTGACTGCACGCTCTACATGGGCACTGAAGAGGAGCTGCAGATGCATTTGACAGTGTGAGTCATGTTCGTTTCCTGTATGAGAACGAACGCCCCGCGTATCGATTTGGACCGCAACAAACCCCAAATTACAGCAGCAAATTTGATGAGTAAGAAGACCCAAACATCACGAAAGAAAAAGGCATAGAAGTCAAATAGATGCTAGTCAGCATGATCAGTAGAGAGGTAACCCACGGAAACAAAAAAAATAAGGTGAAGGTGCAGTTTGAAATAAATGAGATGGCTCAGCCTTCGATTGGAAGATGAGAAGATGAAAAGAAAGAGGGACAGAGATCTCTCTAATTGGAGTGGATAGATAGTGAGACGCATGGCTCCCTCCAGACCATTAGAGAGGCCCGGGTGGAGAGGGTTTGTTCCCAGGAGGAGAGAGCTTGTCTTATGCTCAGCCATGGGGAAGAATCTGGCAGAGAGGCTGATGAGTGGAGAGAAGCCAGGGGAGAAGATGGGCCCCATTGTCCTGTTTAGCTGATGAGGAAGAGGGGACAGGGGACACTCCTCACAAGCGAAAAAAAAAGCAAAGGGTCGGCAAAGACAGCGTGAGGAGCGGAGGATGAAAGAGGGGGTGTCAAAAAAGACAGAATCAGACAGGATGAGACCCGGGGACTAGAAAAGGGGAAGTAAGATGTTCTGAAGTTGTTAAAGGAAAGGGACTCAGGAAGTGAAAGAAAAAGAAGGGAAGAGAAAAAGTGAGGAGAATGGAAGCGGGGTGGGAGGGAAAGCTATGTTGGGAGGGTTGATAAGGGGGAGGAAGAAAACAGGAAGAGAGATATAATGCCGCCGTCGTCTCTGTTTCCTGTGTCCCTCGAGTGAGTTCTCCTGATTGGTGGGTTTGGGGGATGGGGGGGAAGTTTATATCATGGCTCATTCTTCTGGAAAGAGACAGTTGTGTATCGGAGGATCCTGCTTTGATAAGGATAGGTTGGGAACAGTGGAGGACAGGAATTGCTTCAGGTCAAAACAGGCAGAAAGTTTAAAAACCCAAAATAACAAATAACACATCCATGTGTCACACTTCAGTCTATAGATGCAGCACTCCCTCATTGTTTCTTTATTTCGTCAAGCAAACCATAGATCAGTTTGATTCCTATGGATGCTGTTGTGGTTTTCTTACTTCCCATTCCTGATTCGTGAAATGACTTTATGCTTAAAGGGTTTTTTTCTCTAACACTTTGTGGTTTGGTGGGTGAGGTGGGCTTTCAATTGGTTGGTGGCAGTTTAAGTTTTGGTTGTTATTTCCCAACCTCTTCATTTTGAAGAGCTCCAATCAATTGTAGCTCTTCAAAATGATCTCAAGAATTCATTCATTAATATACATGATTAATGTAATAAATGTGTTAATCAAAGTAAGTATAATAATGTATGCTGCATTGTTTCTAGGACTTTATTTTTATACCATTTGCTTTTAATTTTCTACCCAGTGTACTTCAGAAGAAGCTCCAAACCGGCCCCAGCTTTGGAGAAATTGAGTGTTTTGACAGTTCTGGTGGAAAATCTTCTCCAACTGGTTTTCACCCAACCCCTGTGCTCCACTGCCCTCTGTTTCAGGTTGGCGATAAGGTAATGGTGCTGAATCGCTTTGGGCTATGGCAGGAGGTGGCCGTGGTGCCAGCCAGCCACACCTTCCTCATCCCAGAGGGGATGAGTTTTGAAGAGGCAGCAGCCCTCCCCGTCAACTACATCACTGCCTACATGATGCTGTTCGACTTTGGCAACCTGCGGCCAAACCAGAGCGTCCTCGTCCACGCCGCTGCAGGTACCGACACATACACCGCACGCGCACCCAGGACACACACACACACAGACCTCTTTAAAGGATGCATCTAAAATAAAGACATGATACAACTGATTAATATTTCATTCAGTGTGGTTTTAGTTAGCAGGAGCTTCCATTATTGTGAAATACTAAAAGAAATGTAATGAAACCAAACTGAAAACCACAGTAAATCACAGTAGCCACAAAACTGGATTCAGTGTTAAGTTAAAGATCATGTAGAAATGTGAAGCAAAACCAGAGAAAAAATCTGGAAAAAGGCACACTGGTTTTATTACATGAACATCAGGAGTCCTTCCTCCTCAGCCCCTTCTGTTTTTTCTCCATATGGCTTATGCCTCTTGGGGAAGGTCACCCTCCTCATGTGTGTGAGATATAGCCGAGGGTTTCGCTTGCACCAGAGCTGTGCTAATGCCAGCACACCTGCCACCTGGACTGTGGGGTTGAAGATCAGAGTGAGTGGGTGGGGAAGAGATGGGGACTAAGGGAGCAGAGGCACCTGTTTCGGGGCGGAATGCATCGAGCCCAAGAGCATTTGATTCTGCTCTCAGTCAGGCCAGCTGGAAAGAGCGGGGTGCATTTGCCAAAAAAAATTGTTCCCACTTGCTATCTCTTAGTGTACAGCTCTTAATTTCCCTCTCATTCCTACGACTCTTTAGCGGGGGGAGATAGAAATGGTTCCTTTCCATTTGGGACAGCGTGTGGGTGTAAATGGCTCCGTGCGTAATGAAACCTGGCCTTATTCTCTCTGGAAACCAAAAAATGATAAAGAGCGCTGATTCCTGCCAGCGCAGGTGCGTGTATCCCTTTGACATTAGCACCGAAACTGACTGAATGTGTAAGCGGTAAGTAGGGCGCGCCCAGCTGAACAACAGCTAACAGGATGGTAGCCGTGGGACTGGCGGCCTATAGAGGAATCCCGAATGTTTGCCTTCATCATATCATCCTGTTGATGTCACTCACCCCAGTGAGTGCACGTGTGATACATAGATTGCTGTGCAGCGTATTTTTTGCCGTGAGAGGAATGCCGTGGAAATGTGGTTCAAGACGCTTTACTCTGCTGGTTTAGTCTAGGCACCACCTCTCGTTTCTCAGGGCTGGCTGCCAGCCGTAGCTCGCCAGCTGTCCGGACATTAGCATTGTCAGAGCACTCTGCAGAGGCTACGACAAAAAAATCATTTGCCGAACAGTCACGGCTGGATTCTTTCCATGTGTAAATAATTATCCGACGGGCCTCTCTACAACACATCCTCCGGTGACATTTGGAGCTCGGAAATGGCAGCGTTTTTTCTTTTGTGAATAACGTGTGCGAGATGAGCACGTCCCTCTCTCCACTGTCTGCCTTCATTGTGGGGGCAGCTCGGTTCACACGGTGCTGGATCTGAGTGTGTGTGCGCGAGTCTGTGTGTGTGTGTGTGTGCCTGTGTGGGCGAGAGGTGGGGGGTTGTTCCTACCAGGAGTCTGCTGTCAAAATTGTTGCTGATGCTCAGTGATTAAAGAGATCAAAGGTGTGTGCTGTGACAGGCCCAGAGAGTGAAGGGGGGGGGGTTAGGCCTGCCTGCACTGTCCTCTCAGGTCACTTATGTTTTAATGATATGAAACGTATGGCTCCCTGGCTTGTATATGTTTCTTACCAAATATATTTGAGCATGTGATCGTGTTATTTGAACCCAACATTAACCGGGACATTTTTTAATTTGAAATATTCTGTTTAATTAGATTCTTTATCAATCAAAAATGGCCGACATTCAAAAGCTTCTCTCACATTTAAAGATTGGCTGGTTTTCCGTTCTTATAGCTGATAAGAATCATTAGTATTTCATCCCCTTAAAGGTCATAGGGTGTTTCCATTGTTTTCTAACGTTTTAAAGACTCACCAGTAATCGTTTAACTGAGCCAAAGATTATGTTTTACTCCAAAAAGGTTTACTTATTGGCTGACACCAAAGATAGCCACATTACATCATCTGTGAACGGATTCCATTAATCTGTTAATATCTGTTAATATTTGTCAGTTTCTCAATAAACTTTAGATGCAATAGGGGATGTCTTCACCAAGCTGCTACTCTAAAGTATTCGACACGCTTAGTCGTGATACTATCATTCCTTGTGCTGACTTTGAAGTTGCGTAAGGTTTGACTTTAAAGTATCACATGATGAAGTGGAACACTATCACCATTTCCTCAGTAAATAATCCTGTTTTGTACAAAGACATTCCAAGAATGTGCCTCCTTTTCCCTCATATTCAGGCAAAGTGGAAAAAAAGAAGTAATGATATAAAAACCTGTTATAAGCACAAGAACCGTGTTACAACTTGCCCTTGCCCACCCCGTCATACACACCCCACTTAGCCACAAACAGTATTATCTATGTTTGGAAATGTTTTAATATGCCTCATTAGACTGTCTCAAGACTGGTGGTTGCGTCAGTAGGTTGTCCACACAAACAACAAATCACAGCTTTGGGTGCCATGCATAACCAAACTCATATGGAATCCCTTCTATATCAGTTTATGTTTAATAAAGATGAAATAGAGAGCACATGTGTGAGATTGCCTGGCAGCTAATTGCGCAGATGAGGAGTTAAACGTGTTAGAGTTCACACACACATACACACACAGATTTGGTTGACTTGGTCCCAAGGGCCTGCGATAATTATGATTTAAGGCAGTGTGATTTTCATTAAAGGACTGGATCAACAGCATTTTATCAAAGCAGCCAAAGCCTCTAAGTGAATCTCCTCATCGGATTTCATTGCTCGAGGTGTTCATCCTGTCTGTGTTTTATGGCAGACCTGTTTATTTTCACAACAAATTTAATCCACAAATTTGACTGTTTTTAGAAAGTAATCAGACTCCTTTTCAATTATTTCAAGATTTATCTTCCCTCAACCCCCGTGAACCTGTATTTAAACACATACATAAATTGATCAGAAAATGTCATTTTTATCCAATGATATCATAGTCCACAGGCATCAGTCAAGACATGTGTAAAGTGTCTTGATATTTTGAATTTGAAAATGGTCTCTTTTTTTCTGAACTAATGTCCATATTGAAGGTGGCACCATCACCTCACAGAAAGAAGGTTCCTGGTTCGAATATCAGCTGGGAACCTACCTGTTTTGCATGTTCACCCTCTGTATCTGTGGGTGATCTCCAGGTACTCCGGCTTCCTCCAACCATTCAGAATTATTTGGTTATTGTATATTGACCGTAGGTGTAAGCATTCATGGCATTCCAGCTGTATTTGTCTCTGTGGGGCCCTGTCCAGGATTTACCCAACCTATTGCCCAATGACGGCTGGGACAGTCTCAGCTACCTCTGTGACCATGCCTTGTGATACCCGGGTTTAGGAAATGGATGGGATGCTGTATTAGCCCTGCATAACATGTTAAATCTGCAGCTTGCAAACTGAGTTAACATGAGGGCAGTGCACAGGTAACATTTGAGAACTCTGTCTTCTCATTCGACTTCAGGTAAGTGTTTGCATTTCTCAGAATGTGACACTAAACTTTAAAGCTTGAGTGGAGACAAATGATGGACGTAAGAGCCTAGCAGTGCAGCTGGCCACACTGACAACAGCTACAAAGCGTTTTCTGAAGTAAACATGCTGCCAGTATCCTGTTGAACTCTGTAGAGAGCATCTTGAAAAGGCTATGATGTGTAGCCAGTCTGTTGCTTTTTCCAGCGTCATTGTTCCACGATGGCAGGTTGTGTCACATTAACTAAAAGAGCATCCTCTCCTCAAATGTATGGTGACCTTTCCCCACCATGTTTAGGTGACTAATAAAGAACAGTCGACTGGTGTTATGTATGCATGCGTGCGTGTGTGTGTGTGTGTGTGTGTGCGTGTGACACTGGTGAATAATCCTCAGCTGCTTCTCTCGTGGCTCCTCTCCTGGCCTTTTTCTCCAAACAATAGCTTGTTGTACTTCCTCCCATCGTGCCTCTCTTCTCCACCGCGCCGCACATCTGCATCCTCCGTTGTCCTCCTCCCCTCCCGGCCCTCCACAACCTCCTCTCCCTCTGCGTGACCTCGCCATATCCGCGCCGCGGCCCCCCTCGTCATCGGGGGAGCGCGTGTGCACGTTTCCCCTTTTGTTTTCCCCCGGGGAGTTTGGGTGGAGGGGGGAAGCTCTGCGACATTTGGTTGCATCTCGCGGGTCTCCCACTGTACCCGGCCAAGTGCCCTTCCTCTAACCTCTCCCTGAACCGCTCGTAGTGTTTATGAACCCCGGCCAGCCGGCCCGTCACCACACCCACTCTACACATTCCTGCATACATTCGGGGCTATGCTGCCGAGCGATGACGTCTGCCCCTGTCTTATTTATGAGCTGACGGCGTTAAGTGTCAGGCATTGTATTGCAGATGTTGAATGCATAATCTGATTAGGTAGTGCAGTTGGAGTGCGCCCACAGTCTTGGCCGACACCTTCAAATTTTGGCACATTCCCCGAGTGTGAACTCCGTAAACCTAAACAGCAAAAAAGCATACATAATGATATTGCAGTTGTAGTCTGCCGAGTAGCCAGTGTTATCTGTGTCTCCTCTCAAATAAAAGCGTCACGGTAGTGGGTTTTAGCAGCGTGTGCAATGTTTGTTTCTTTCCAAAAGCCAATTATGGAGGCTTTTATGCCTCTGAAGCTGCTTCTTCTTTGAGTGTCTTTGTATAGGATAGAGTTGCACCGCACAGGTTAAACGGAGGATTAGCCGGCCAGACTCAAAGTAAGAGGCTTCCAGCTGCTGTGTGGGGATGAAATCCAGCCTTCAGAGTGAAGGGTGGCAGCAGTCACAGTGTCAGTTAAATACTTGTTCCAGCTGTGCAACCGGTTGTAACTTTCCTGTAAAGTTCCTGTTTGATGATTATCGTTTCATTTTTAGCATTTCACACCAAAACAAGGCCTTTTTTGTGACCTCATTTGGGAATCAAATGTTATAACATTACATGCATGTTACAACTTTCTTCCAAACAGCCTGTTCCATCAACCGACTCTTGTCTGTTAGTAACAATATTTAAAGCTCTCTGGATGGAGCTTCTTGTACTCAGTGTTTCCTGTGAAGTGTAATGAAAAAATCAGATTATGTTTAACTCAGTTGTCATATTTCGTACTGCTTTTGAAGCCTTCCAGCTGTCCGTTATGTTTTCTTGGCAGAACACAGAAACTTAGAAACTGCTGGACCGCTGATGACCAGCTTTATGTTTGTCTGCCAAAGCCTTGCTGTGAATTAACTCAAAATGTCTGAACCAAGAGAAACAGGTGGCTGGATCTATTGGGTGTGGTGAATGAGAATCTATCTCAGATGTAGATCTTCATGTTTTCCGTCAGGCTTGCAAACAGTGCCTCGGACATATTTGCCTTTCTATGCACAGCCGATTGCAGCAGGGAAAGTAAAATTAGGAGCAAAATAATGTCTTTGAGGTTTTATCATTGAGGCCAACTTTGTTTAAACCATAAGAACAGAAATAAGAATTCGTATCCCCGTGTGTCTACTTGTCCCTGGACTACCGTAATGTGCTCATTCATTATTTAGCCCCTTACGGTTTGAACATTAGCTCATTTGTACTTCCATCCCTGGAGGGTTTTTTTTTTTTTTTTAGTTTTCCCTCTACTGCTCCTAGAATGCCTGCTCATGAGGTCGTACCCTAGTTTTAGAGAAATCTAATTCGCTCTGACCACTGAGCGGGAGTCTGGGCTGCGCGGTTGAACCGTCTCGGCGCTCCCCGGGCCTGACATCGCTGCCGGCAGCTCAGCTGCACTGATAGGAGAAGGAAACCAGGGCAACCTCCAACCTAACCTGCCAATTACATTGCTTGTTTGCAGTCTCATCGCTGCAGCCGTTGACAATGACCCCGTCTACCCCCCCCCCCCCGTTCGCAGCCACCACATACACTCCCAGGTGTATGTGAAGCTTTTCTAAGGACACCTGTTTGTGTGCTTCTGTGTTGTGTGCACCAGCTTCTGTATCTAGTTTAAAACAGGAAATGCTGTTTTGTGTGTTTGTGTGTGTGTGTGTGTGAGCATGTAGATGCAAATTTCCGTTATCAGTATATGGTGGTTTTTATTTGTGTTTAGTGCCGCGAGATCTCCTATTCAGGAAATCACATGGACTTCCTTAACACATGAGCAAATTCACTCTCTTAGTAACTAAAAATGGCTTTCCTTTATGAAATTCACCACATTAAACTGCTCTTCAAGACCACAGTGTAAACACGCACACATTCACACAGTCATCCAAGGAAAAACACCAGTGTTACATAATCCAGAGCAAACCTCAAAAGGTCCAAACAGCCAACCAAAGCTCCTCTCATTGTTACAGGACTCATTTCTGAGCTTCAAAGTAGCAATAAAATGACTTGATGTTGATTTTGTAACTTTGCCTTGGTGAGTCTGGGTAAGAAATGCTTGTTTCCATGTTTGCATTTCACTCTCTGTCAGCCACCACCACAGGATACTGTAATAATGGGTTAGGAAAGATATGAGTCCTTGAGGAAATGCGCAAATATGTAAAAAGAGAAAAAAACAACACAGAGCTGTGAGACAGGGGACCAGTCGTCCTCAGGTGTTGACAGTCACCATATGGCCACCATCCATCCCCGATCTAATACCTGAGATCGTAACCTGGCTCGCGCAGTTACTGTGATGTGAGATTGTGTTTATTGCCTCAATAAACACAGAGAAAGATGTCATTTTGAAAGTCGGTGACAGATGTTTTAATGCATGGTATCCATTCCTGATGTCCGCACCCTCCCCTGCTGTTGAACTATGGGTGTGGAGTAATAATAGTGGCCTCGCTGTCAGTCTGGATTCCTCTGTGTTTTGGGGGGAAAATTCCTCTTTGCTTTTAACAGCCATGTTATAGGAGCCAAGTGCAATTTGTGCCAAAATGCGAGAGTGTAAGGATTGAGAGAAAGACAAGGCTCCACTGTGTATCTAGTTTCCCTGAAGAGAGAGAGAAACCGAACAGATAGGAGGATGTTTTATTGACATGTCCTTATTTCCATGTGAAAACAATTCAATTGAATCTTGAGGAGAACAAATGTTATTAGCAGCAAGAATTTGCTTAAGCTGCTTTTTTTTTCTTTTCCACAGAGTATTTGTGGCTGTCACACACTCCCAGGAGAAGTGGTTCAGGTCTGGAAATACTGGGGAAAATATGATCTGGGAAACCCAGGAAGCGCAGGAACTCGGGGTTAATGAAAGATTAATATTTTAATCTTTGCATGTTTGCGCAGATTAGCAGATAGGGCCAGCCAGTTGGACTGCTCAGCCCAGTGGACCTCTCTCCTTTGTGTATGTATGGATGTGCGTGATCTGAGGTGGGGGTGCAGTGAGGGGCTCTTGGCACAGCTCCGGGGTCTTGTGATGGGAGATCAGGAGTTTGTTCTCATGGGATTCAGGAACAGGTACCGTCTTCCGTCCGACTAAAAACACATTGTTGCCCTCTCAAAACATTTCTTATTATGTAATGACTTTTCATTGTTCTGCATCGTCCAAATAAAGATTTACGGCTTGGAGAATAATTCTTGTACTGTAAATTACATTATTTCTTTTTTTAAAAAGGGAATTAGTCAGTTCGTTGTTTTGTTCATGAGGCTGCAATAGAAAAGAAATCTTTTCCATGACCACAGTATTAGTTAAATATTAGCATGTAAGTGCATGATTGTGCAAATGGGGCATTAATTGAGGTGTTATTGTGCAGGACCTTTTTTTTTAACACCTGCGTGTTAGGGTTGCTGCTACATGACAGAGCCATTTATTTAAACCGCCTTTAAACCTCCCACTCAGACACTGCACACTTAACATCTCTCACCTCTTCTCTTCTTCTCCCCCACATCACATGAACCGTCCTTCAGTTATTTGTGTGCCAAGCGCAAACAGAATTACCGAAAGCAAACAAGTATATTTTTCTTGCAGAGTTTGCACGTGCCAAAAAGGTACATGCACAGTTGGTGTTGAAGGAGATTAGCATGTTTGAAGAGATTCTGCTCTAATGTGTGTGTGTGTGTAATGTGTCTTTCCAATGCTTAGTGGCTTCTGGAAGTAGACGAGGTCCAGTCTGTCAAACATAAACTGATGACAAACTTGCGATTGTTACCAAAGGAAGAGCAGTCAATGAAACAAAATGGCTCCCGTTGCTTAGTCATTGCTGGCAATTTGGATGAGGTTACCTTGGCAACACAAACTTGGTTTCTCACTGAGAACAAAGAGAGATGGTTGCTGTTATAACACAGCCTCGACAGCGCTTGAATCCAACAGCAGCAGCCTTGAGTTTGATTTCTCATCTGTTATACCCTCTGTGTCAGCAGGGGTGGTGACAGTGATGCAGACCAGCCAGTTGGTCTCTCATGAGCTCAAGCCAATAGAAGTAAAAAACAGAAATACTGAATCGGTTACATTTGCTCCCTCCCCTCCTGTTTTACAAAATCTTATTCTAATTCTGAGGGGATCTTGCATCAGGAAGAGGTGAATTTGGCCTAATCGTACATTTTTAGTGGATGCATCCAGCCACAGGGGAAAGCTGCTTGTGTGCAGCTGAGGACATTGTGCTGTGAGACGGGTTCACTGGCTCAGAAAAAAAAGCCATGTTTGGATGAAGAGACAAGAGGCTCATCAGTGTCATTCCATGCACAGCGTTCTTCCTTTGCAACAAGCACCGACACAATATTTTCATAAAAAATGCACAGAGATCAAAGGGATTTAAAGCATGTTGCAAGTCTAAATCTGCATGTCTGAGAGATAGTAATTAAAATTGATCTGACATATTAAGTCATATGTAAAATTTTACTAAAACAAACCTTGTGTCTTTGTATTTCTGTCCATTACAAAAAGCAAATCGTTAATTTATTTCAAACCTATCGAGCAGCCCAGCTATACCGTTAAGAATACATGTTATTGAAAAGCACCTGTTGCTTTGTGTTTCTTTATTCTCATGCATCAGATAAGATGTACTCTTTACTTGGTCAGGCATGAATGACCTTTATAGATGCCTTTCAGCTCCAGTCTTCAAGTCAGCTTCCATTTCAAACAAGCTTCTGCTTATCAGTAACCTATTACTTCTTCCACCGGCTCCCTTAGCAAACACTGACTGAGGCTTTTGTCCCAACTATGCACGCAGTTAACAAAAACACAGAGAATCAGAACATCTCCTTCTTATTTCAAGTTATGCAAAGTGTATTTATTTGTTTTGTAGTTTTCCTAACAGACATTTCGGCTACATTTGTAATTATTGTGGAATTTTGGGTTGTCTCTGTAAAGAGAACTTTTTTTTTTTTATGGATATTGTTGTTAGGTGACAATGGTTACTTTCTTCAGAGCCCGATGCTGCATCTGTGTGTGGGTGCCTGTTCTTCCCAGAACAGCTGGGTAATGTGATTGGGTTTAATACGCTCCTGACATACCCCAGAGCAAAACACATCCACCATGGTATTGACTTGCTTGTTTGCCACAATAAATAATGTAAATCACATTTACCTGCCATTGAGAATACGTGTCATGAGGGAATTCCATTCCCGCTCCATCTGATGCAGGTCTCGACGCAGTGAGACTATTCGTTTTGGCAGAAACCCTTGCTCAATAGCACTTGTTTACAGTCCAAGTTAAAATGCTTACATTTTTTATGTGTGAACCTTTTTTCCTTCTTTACTCAGGCGGTGTGGGCATTGCCGCAACTCAGCTGTGCCAGACTGTGAAGGATGTTACCGTGTTTGGCACTGCGTCGGCCAGCAAACACGAGACCATCAGCCAGGGTGGAGTCACACACACCATCGACTATCGCACCAAGGACTATGTGGAAGAGGTCCGCAAGATCAGTCCGAAAGGTCAGAAAATGGTCATCTACCATGTCTGATTCTAAATACGACAGACTGGATGGTAAAGTCTTGGTTTGTATCGGTGGTAGCTGTTCATGGAGAGTCTCACAAGACCCATTGGTCAGATCAATACAAATCCATTGACACAAAGCAATAATGTATGGCGGCCCACACTTGTTGATCAACCCTAAAAATACCCCTGACAGATGACACGTTTTCATTATTTCTCTGCCAAGCTGGCTGCAAGTGGTACCAAACTGACAACTGTTTCTACCAAACAAGGTTACCTCAGAAACAGTGACTCTAACTGCCAAAAATAATGAAGCCACAGGGTTTTGTGTATATGGGCTCTCTGCTGAGAAGCTGAGAAGTGCAGTAAAAAGCTGCTTTTCAGCTAAATTAAACAATGTCGAGTTCCTGTTTATCCTTTTCACTCACCACTGTGTTCCGAGCACAAATGTATTACGCCGTAGGCTCGTTTCAAAGTCCCCTCTTCAACCTTTCTCTGTCCTTTTTGCAGCATATGGCGAGACAGGCAAACATCACAGAGACAGATATGTGGAGAGCAAGAAGTGACACTTTAGACAGAATGTATCTAATTAGACTAAAGGATCAATGTGCAGCCCTGCTCTCTACCTATCCTTCTATCTTTGGCTCTCTATCAATTCATCTGTGCCGTAGCAAAGGCAGAATCCTACTGTGAGCCTCCAACGATCAATAGAACCAGGGTTCAGCAGAGCAAGGAGGGGGAGCCCAATTTAAGAAGCCCCCTCTGGCACAGAGTACATCATTAGCCTCAGCCTACATGACTGGGCATTAATATCCCACAAAGAAACCTTCTGGGTTAGGTTGCTGTGCTTTACCATCTGTCAATCCACAATAACAAAACAACATCCGAACAGAGAAAAGAGTAAAAGGCACATAAGATGAGAAGGTTCTTGTACTACCTTCTCTCCTTTATTGGCTCCCCTTCATGTAAACATGGCAGCTTGGCTACACTCGCTGCTCCTAGTGAACTCTGGCATGCAAAGGGGGCCACTAAGGAGACTTGGCAGACTGAACACACACACACACACACTGAATACACACCAATGATAACTGCATCCCTGTCTGTGCTCCAGGCCTGGACATAATACTGGACCCTCTCGGAGGATCAGACACCCATAAGGCCTACAACCTGCTCAAACCAATGGGCAAACTTATTACCTATGGTAAGTAAAAGACTATAGTAATTCAGAGAACAGTTTTTTGGCATGTGACAAGGCTTAAGTTAGAGTTTTCCCTGATATTAGACAGCCCTCCAAACTAAGACGCTCAGACTGGAATCCTTTTTTTTATCAGCGACCTGAGCAAAGGAATTATTCCTGATGATTCCCCTTTAAACTCGTCAACTCTTTTAGACCTCCCAAAAGTCATAAACTTGTTGGCTGGAATGCACAAGCCGATTAGAACACATTAGCGATGTATCAAAATGAGCAGATAAAATTCTTCTCATCCTTTTCGTTGGACTGTTGCTCCAGCTTACAACAAAATGTTGCATTTGGGGTATTTCAGTTGGAGCTGAGAAGAATTTAATCTTTTTTTTTTCTCACCCAGCTCACTGAAGCTGTTGTGGATGAATAGCTTAGACTCGGTGCGAAGATGTTTGAGCCCGGTCTTGCCACAGTGTAGAGCTGCTTTCTGGTGGGCGGAGTGGCCTCTCTGTGGAGGCCCGTCTTCTCAGTGTGCTGCATGTCATCCGTGGGAAGCACTTTTACGCTCTCTCTGTTACAATTCCAATCTGGATGCTTAAAGTGGGCAGGGTCGGCATCCGTGGAGAACAGGGCCTTGCCTTTGCGTGTTACTCGGAAACCTACTACCCAGCATGGTGCCCTTCACCCTCACCCATTCACCCTTGCCGGTCCCTCTGTGCTGGCTGCTTCTCATCCAGCTTATCAGAAGTAGGCATGGTGGAACAATGAGCGTTCTATCCGCACAAAACCTGGAATGTGTCTGAATGTAGCAGGCTGGGTCCCTCTGTTCTTTCAGAGCTCGCTTTGTGTCCCCCGTTTCCCCTGAGAGAGACGGAGATCGAGAGCAGAGGCAGCTATGTGAACCCATGAGGAGGGGAACTGGAGGGGTATGAGATGACAGACGGTTGAAGTGTTAAGGAGTTTTTTTTGGGGTGGGGGGTGAAAGGATGGAGTCTGAGTGTGAGAACACAGGAATAAAGAGGCTCTTCCCAGAAATTAACATTAATATTTCAACTTTTATATGTATATGTATTTAGTCTGTAACTGTAAAATTGCTTTGATATGTGCTGAGACAAAAACACATTATGCTGAGTCAGGATTTAGAGTGTCTGTCTTTCTACCCTCCTTCCTCTCAGGTGCAGCAAACATGCTGGCAGGCCAGAGGAAGAACCTGCTAGCTGTGGCCAAGAACTGGTACCACCAGTTCTCCATCCACACACTCAGCCTGATCCAGGGGAACAAATCAGTGTGCGGCTTTCACCTAGGTTACCTGGACGGGGAGACGGAGCTCATTGCCCAGGCAATGAGCACCGTCCTGGATCTGCACAAACAGGGCAAAATCAAACCCCGCATCGATTCCACTTGGCATCTTGAGCAGGTTTGAATCTGTCTGCTTACGCATTTCACACTCAGAATCATGGACACCGAGTTCATTGTTTTAGTGGCCAGCTGAAATAAAAACTAAGAAAATATAAAGACATGAAAACCTGGCTTAAAAGGTTTTGAAATGACATTTTATCCCGGCATAATGTGTGCTGTTTTTGTTGGCTGTTTAGGGGTAGAAGCATTAAAGCAGAACTTGGTACAAAGAAAAGAGGGTCGACTAAGAAAAGAGGCTCATACTGGCAGGTCACCATGGCAACTGCAGTTATTGACAGCAGTTAATGATTTTGTTTGGGTCTCATTGGTTGTTTACTCTCAGGCACAGATTTATCTAACAATTCAAATGAGGGGCAGAAAGAAGAGCTGAATAGATGTTGTATATACTGTATTTATACATTTATTTCAGTGGAAATAAATGTATAAATACATGTCCAGGTGTCTTTGGGTAAGATATTGAACTCCTAGTTGCCTTCAATGCAGCGTCCAGTGGAGTTTGCTGCTCTGTGTCCTGTTTGTGCCGGTTCCCAGCTTGGATAAATGCGAGGGTTGCGTTGGGAAGGCCGTCCGACGTAAAAAAATCCTACCAAAACCTACAATGCAAGTCAAGGCCAAAAGGCAAAAACAACGTAATTAGTTTACTTCACAATTTTTATTTGTGTTTTAGTAAATGGCAAGAAGTTACCAAATTATTATAGTGAAATTGCTTGCATGAGGTTATACACAAAAAGGATTTTACTTTATTCTCAATGGTATTTTTTAGTTTAAGATGCATAAACCTTTTTCCCCATAATAAAATTTAGCTAAGCTAGTTGGAACCTTCAAAGTGCATAGAAGATTTTTGTCTTCTTAATTTTAATGTCTCAACTCTTAGATGGAAAGAAATTAGTCAAAAATGTGGAGACAGTGATCGGCAACTAGGTGGCCAGCACATGTTTTTTCATGGCCCTCGCGGCTGAAGCAATATTCTAACACAAATTTATGCAGATCTGCATTTGAATTTCACATCCATTTTCCTTCCTCCTGGTTTATTAGTGTGACAAAATCCGTCCAGAGCGTGTGTGCAGGCTGGGTGGGTTTGGGTCTGTGTTTGCCTTGTGGTGGGGCATAACTGCAGCTGGGCGTGGCCCCGAGACTCGCGTCCAGCGAGCAACTTTATCCACAAGAGGCTCAGTGTCTGGTGTGGCATCACCCGTGCCGACAGACTCAGATTGTTGTTGACAAAATCGACCCTGCCAACAGATATGAAAAGAGAGAGTGTGAAAAACACTGATAGAAAAGGGAGCTTCAGAGGCTGACATCTTCTGTTGTCAAAGTCAGAGCTGGTCAGTATTTTGGCCGTGAGACCGTGGCCGGAGAGAAACACCCGCTGTCTTTCTCCGCCATCTGACGCTCTTTCTCTGCCTCTCCATCTGTCTGTTCTTTATATTAGATTCCTTTTCTCTGTCTTTAGGGTTATTGACTCCCTCTCTGTGTCTCTCTATCTGGCTTTATTCTCTCCTTCTCCCTCCTCACAGTGTATCTTTTTTTGCTCTTTCTCTCTTGTTGCTATGGTGACGTCGTTTAGTCAGTGTGTGCGTCTGTCTCGGGGAGGGGCCCTGATGTATGAAAAAGACATGGAAGGAGTGCGGAGATGCAGAGGAGATGAAGATGGCTGTCAGCTCGTCTTTGGAGCGCTCCGCGTTGTAAAGTTGTGGGTCCGTGTCTGCAAACTGGCAGGGTGTTGAATGTGGGAGCATCAAAGGCGAAACGCTGCTTAGGACTGGTGGATCGATTATTATGACCCCAGAGCAAATGCCACGCCCTGACCCCATTCATCAGAACCCTCCCCCCAAGAATTTCTTTGCTCAAGAAATCAATAAACCTGCTTGAGCAATATTTGGAGATTAGCATGTTTCCTCCCTCAGATTCATTTTTTTTCTAAAATCGTACTGACCCTCTACAGGATAATGGTCATGTCAGCTGCCACAAATAGCACAGGCTGGTCCAAGATGCCCGGGAGGATGTCAGCTCCTCCAGAACACAGGGCGGGTGTGGGTGGAGCTGATAAAAAGCCTGACACACTCTCGCTTTGCCTTTCATTCACACTGAAGATGATTCTTATAATTCCTAGACTCCCCCTCCCTCTTTCCCTTCTAGTGCCTGCTCCTCATCAGAGGGATACCAGTTGCTCCCTCCGCCTCTCCCTCTCTCCACCCCCGTCCTCTTCGAACTCCTACACTCCCTCTTTTTCCCATGTGTCGGAGTCGTCAGAGCCACGTTTTACCCAGGCTTTACGTTGCTAGGAGATGGCCCTGTTGCCGTGGCACTGGTCGTTAGGTGGTCTGCCTGCCTCGCACAAATGGGGAGATTGGAGGGAAGCGGGAGGGGGATGTGATGGAGACTGGAACAGACAGTGGACAGAGCTCAGTGGTCAAGAGGAGGGTGGGGCAGATCTTGGCTGGGATCCTCCAGCATTCATTATGATGGAGAGGCAGTTGGTTGATCCATGACTGTGTGGGGGTGGGGGTTGACATTAAAAGAGAGTCTGTAAATGAGTCGGATGGAAGTTGTTTGAATTCTTTGAGTTTGGACTTCAAAATTCAGTGATGAGCATCACAATCTGAAGTTGTAGTGTAGTGTGTTTATTTTTTAGGCTAACTTAATGTCAATTACCCTTTAAAAGGGTACCACTTACCCATTTCCATCCATTCACATGCTTCTCCATTGCAATGATTGCAGTCCAACTTATTTTCCTTGATCTACTGTGTCAGTCATTATTAAGAAAAATGGTTCTTCAGTGTATTCAGCAATTTGGATTACATTACCCTTTTTCTTTTTGTTTTTCATATCTGACTTTTAGTGGGTGCACAGTGAGACAAAGGAGGATTTTTGTGGTTCAGGCCTATGGGTTTGCTGTCACAGCTGAAGATTTAATGTGTCCACATGAATCCATTTTTTTATTTAAACAAAAAAATCAAGTTTTCTTTAGTGTATCACTGAATAAAAAAGGCCAAATGGAGTTAAACCTTCGAAACATTATTCATAAGTCTGTCCAGTAAAAGCCTTCAGAGAATTTAAATTGCTGATCTGAAGAGGCCATATTGTGCTTTTAGGGGAGTTTTTCCTCTTACTCTCAGTGTAGCTGTCTGTGAGTGCAAAAGGACTTATTAAGTCCAAAGTACACACTAAAGGGAGTAACATCCTCCCATAGAAAATACTGCTCCTGCGTGGCCTAAAATACCTAGTTCATGAATATACCTTCCCTTTTTTACTAGACAACATTAGTATGAAATCCATCAGTTTAAATTCTTCCCAATAGGCTATTACGGTACGCCCTAAACTATGACCGAGCAGGTTTTCAGCCCGAGGGTCAACAAATCTGCATGGGATTTGTCTAGTTACAGAAAAGGGGTGACCACACATACTGCCTCAGTAAAAGTCTGAGAAAAAATGTCGCCTCTTTTACTATCCAAACAATTTAAGATGATTTCCAGAATGACATAATTAATCTGGAGGAGATTTTTTATGAATGACATATTTGGCAGCAAGTGAAATGTGGCAAATGAAAGCCGAATTTCAACTTCTTTTAATGGCTTGTTTTCCTTTGATTTATTTTGTCATTTTTTCCACCACTTTTTTTTTTCTAGTGTGCACTCTTAGAATAATTTAATTTCCTTAGAAATGTTATGTGTCATCAATACAAATGTAATTCCTCGTGTACTGACATATTCAAGGGATATTTTGAAGAAAATCCTGGAAGATTCATTTCTGCGATGCTGTATTTTAAGGGGAAGAAAGGAGGGCTAGAGTGTACTATCATTTCTGGGGAAAGGTTTCTATTGCTCATACACAAAATACTTTTTCACTTCTGAAATCTCACTTTATTGCCCTTTTATTCCATATCTCTTTGTTCCTCCTCTAGGTTGGCGACGCCATGAGAAAGATGCAGGAGAGGAACAACATCGGCAAAGTGATCCTCACCACAGAGCCAATGCCCGAGGAGGAAAAGAAGGAAGAGGCAAAAAAGGAGGATAAGAAAGAGGACAAGAAGAAAGAGGAAAAGAAGAAAGATGACAAGAAGAAGGACGATGGAAAGAAGGAGGAGAAGAAAGACGAAAAGAAGAAAGAAGAGGCTAAGAAAGAAGAGAAGAAGGAGGAGAAGAAGGAGGAAGAGAAGAAGGAAGAACCCAAGAAGGAGGAAAAGTGAGAGGGAGGGAAGGATGGATAGTTAAGCAGACCAGCAGGGAGTTGGTGTCCTGGGGGCAGGAGGTGTAGTGGGGATAAGCACGGGGGTGGGGGGGTTAATAAAGATGGGGAGGAGTTGGGATAGATTAGAAAATGATCACACCGTTCTCAGTCTTTCACCTCCCCTCTACTTCACCTCAGTCTACAGTGATTTTCCCGGGTCTGGCTCTGCCTGCCTCCCATTCCTTTCCAGTTTCGTGCATTTATCTAAACAAAATTCCAGTCCAACAACACCCTTATGGTCTCTGACCTCCTGTCCCACGTTTTCTTCCTCAAAGTGTTCGATACGATTGCCAATTGGATTCATAGACACACCACAGCCACGGGGTATGGTGTCTACGGTCCAGGCTTGGGGTAAATTACTGTTTCCTTGACAACCTTAATCCCCGCTCGCCCTCCGGCTCCACCCTCGACCCCTTGTGCTCCTCCACGCCGCGGCTCCCACTGTGCTGAATTGTTCTGCTCTGACTTCCACCTGCCACCTTCACTTCCCCCCTCACTGTGCTGAGTCTCCCCCCTCCTTCCCCACACACACACACGGCTCCCACACCGTCACCACCGCCCTATCACACCCACAAAGCGGACCCATCGACAGGCAGAAACACACGCAGAAACACAGGCAGAAACAAAAAAAAAAACCAAGAACCACACCCACCCACACATTGCTCTCTCGGTGTCCAGTTATGTCACTAAGGATGAGTCAGAGATGCCTGTGATTGGCTAAAGCACCTCACCCCGGGAGATATTCTCAATGTGCTTTTTCGATCACGATGTTTGGCCGCTTTAAAACGGCGTCAACCTCGGTTACTTGATCGATACCATGGGTGACTTCTCCCCAAAGGTCTGTGAGGTTCATTCAGTGCAGTTAGCCCTTTCCCTGAATATGAATTTCCCTCATAATGAGCCTTTCTGTGTCATGTTGAATAGGGAGGCAGAAATCATCCCTCAGCTTCCTTCTCCTTAGTTACAGATTTTCTAGCTGACCAAATGTTGGCAAGAAATGCACAGTGCCAATTAAGAGAGAATTTGTTTCTGTTCAAACAAGCAACAAGTACACACATTAACGCTCACACACAGTGAGTGTGATAAAAGAGGCACTGTTACAGCTAGACAGTGAGGCAAGTTGAGAAGGTGAATAAGAGTTCTTTTTCCTCATCCTCCTCGAGGCGGTCCGTGGAATTCTGCCCCTTTCACAGCAGCCGCTCGCCTGCCGATCAACACGACCTGAGAGGAGAATTCAGCTGGAGCTGGTGTCCATACTTTGCCTCCCCGCTCACTCTTCTTTTTTCTCTCTCCCTCCTCTTTCTGTTTCCCTCTCTGCGGTCGGCATAGCAACAGGCGTCAGGCTCGTCAGAGATGGCACTGTGGTCTGTTTCTCTGACTCCCTCTCGCTGCGTCTCTTCTCTGCTGTAACAACTCTGCGTTTGCCAACAGTCGACCAGTATTCCAACAGGTGGAGAATGTATTAAAAATCTCTGTTTAAAAGAGGGAGGGGTAGCAGTTATTCGGGCTGTTAGCGTGGCTCTAGAAAACTTTTAGTTCCCCCTTCGAATGAAATTTAAGATTTTACATTTAAGCATCAACAGGGTGTGCAGTTTGCAGTACGCTGGCAGTGCACCGCTCCCCCTAATGGACATTGTGGATTATGTCTGATTTGTAAGAGTTTTGATTTGATGAATCAACTTTGAATAGTAGATGATTCTGCCTGCCTCTCTGCCTGTCTCTGAGTCTAGCCTCACTGTTGAGACTCAGATGGTGACTAGTGACTTTGTAAAAAAAAAATTTAAAAAAGAGACAAACAAAAATGTTTCTCAAAAAAAAAGAGGAAAAAAGTTCAAGAAAAAAAGATGTTGTGTTAGCATGAGTGGCCTCCCTCATGTGCTGTGTGTGGTGTGCCGTTGTGTGTGAAGACGTGTGTCCTCAGGTCGTTTGTCAGGTTTTAAAAGCACCTACCCTGAACGCCCCTGCCACATTTCCAACTTACACTACTTTGCTACCGTACTGTGTAGCTCCGATCCAATCCGCCCTTCCTTCTCTACCCCCCCCTCCTGTCTGATAAGAGGCCTGTGTTATGAGGACAGTTGGTATTAGTATTTTGCACTCTGCTCGCTGATCTTAATGCACTTGCAAGCATGGCGGCCGCGCTCCGGTCCCACACTGGTTTTGATCTTGCTCCATGTTTGCAGCCTGTTTCCCATCGTCCGGTCCTAGTGCATTTGCCGAAGTGGCACAGTTGGCACACACACACGCACACACACACACAGACGCACACACATGAAAAGATCCGCTCATTTTCATCTTGCCAGTCCCTGCTCGGGCCAGCTTCTCCTGGGTGGCAGCTAAAATCAAAGCATTCATCCATCCATGTCTGTGGGAAGGAAAACGTGGAACAGGGCGATCTGGTCTGGAGTGCGGCCGCCACGCTGGTGTGGGAGTGATTGTGTCCTGTCAGCCTCTGGTTAGTGTTCTGTTCTAATCTGCTGGGCTCCCTTTGTGAACCTGTGGACGGTGCTTTTGTTCCGAGTGCCATGTGAGAAACAAATGCTTCAGTAAAAGTTTAAAAAAAGAAAAAATGTTTTACTTACTATGTTGTTTTTGATTTACCTTTATATTTCCATTTGTTCGTTTTGTTATCCGAGGGTTTAAAGTTCAAAGCTCATACAGTACTCTTTATGTGGGGACCTGCCAACCTGCACTCCTAAATGTGATGACGTTTTTTTGGTTGGTTCAAACCATGTGTGCCAAATTGTATGTATATTCCTTTGTCAATGCTTTGAATATTAACAGTGCATAAAAAATATATGAAGAAAATTCTGCTTTTGGATGCTTTTCCATTAACCCTGAAGAGGAAAGAAAATGCAAATGAGTTGTCACAGTGTGCCAGTTTTGTATCTCAAAATGCTCATGGGTGCTGACAGTTTTTCCTTGCAGTTTACAAAACTGTTGTGTTTTTGAGTGGTTGCAGTCTTGCTCAAGCATAGACCTGCACTGTGCCTCTACCCTTGCTCACAGTTTACCTCAGTCTGAGGCCCGTCCTTTGTATTTCTACAATTTTCACTGTGTTTTACCAGCTGTCAAGACAGCCACAACTGGTCGAACCTTCCTGTGTTTACAGCTATAATATCAGTGAATAGGAATGTGCAATTAAGGCTAAAAACTCCAACAGAAGATAAATAGATTGACTCAAGTCTGCAAATTTCCTCCGCTTGATGTTGGTGTTCCTTTTTTTTTGTGTGTGTATATTTCTTTCCGTATGTTTGCAAATGGTCCGTAGAAAAAGTGAGGCAACAGATGTTTCTCACACAGATGTGCGTTGATGCCAGCCCTATAACACCGCTGAACAAAACTCCAGCTTATTGGCTGGTCATAGTTCATCCCTGGCCTGCCCCAGACACAACATTTCCTCTTTGCAGATGGTCTCAGTTCACTCGTTCCCTTTTCCTGTGCTGCATCTGCAGAGCCTCTTGGCCCGTGCAGCAGCCAGCCGAGGCTCTTCTCCATATCGCCCCCCCCCTTCCCTCTGCATACACATTCATAAAATAAAACACCACTTTGACATCTGGAATTTGCGATTGCATGCATTCATACGCATGTGGAAAACAGATTAGAAGCTCATTTTTTTCTTTTTCTTTTTTTCTGCCGTTTCCCCTTGGTTCTTTTGAGTTAATGCCTTTGAGATGAACTCAATCAGAGGGGCGGGTGTTTAATGTCTGGGGTTGAGGCCTCAAGAGGATACTCGGTTAAACTAAGGCTCACCCTTTTCCTTCTTTCCTGAGTTTTTCCACAGTGGATAAGCCGAATTCTGTGCCATCTAGAATTGTTTTCCCAGTCATTCCAAATGCAAAATGCAAGAGCAATTTAGAGGGGAAACAATTGTGTTAGCAAGTACAAAGACATTCTAATTGGTAATTTTCTATACAATTTGAGGTTTGAGAGTAACTCTTTTAACTCTCAAAGTCTTTACAGTCAGAAAACGAGTGTTCTGCTTCCACTTGACTCAGTATGTGTTTGTATGTCCCTTACAGACACACGCTGTTTAGCTTTGAAGTGATTCTTTCTTTTCTTTTTCTTTTTCTTTTTTTTTTTTATAGAAAATATGGTTTCTCAGGTCATTCCAAACAGCAGTTTCCCACACTAAGAAACCACTTAATTTTTCATTTATTAACACACAGTTCACAGCACAAACTTTCGTACCGAATTTTTCCTTCGAACTATCCGTGTCTGGTGTGTGGAGAGGATCTGTCTGTGGCTTATTTTCCGATTCAACGGCTACATCTGACCGCAGCTGTTGCTTCCTCATCAGCCTCTTATGGACGGCTCTGCCTCTGTAGAAGCATTACGGAGATGCAAAGAAAGTTCAGTCTGCTTAAGTTCGTCATGTACAGTTAGAAAGCATGTGTAGTCATCCAGATAGTGGAGCATGAGTGTGTGTGTGCATATAGCTCGCCGTTAGTTTCATGTAGTGGTGTTGCATGAGGGAGGAGAGTTCCAGTATGCTGCTCCCCGTGCCACCTGAGTCCTTGTTCTCACATTCAGCATGGGCACTGCCACGGCCAGCCGGTACACCCCTCAGACATCTTAACCTATCTCTGGGAATGCTTCCGAAACTCGCTCTGCATCCATCCCACCTCCATGCCTGGTGTTAGGGTCCTGTCACAACTGGGGATTTTCTACAAAGCATACCCAACAGGTTAAATTTCTAGGTCTCCATCGATCTGTCCATCCCTATGTTGACTTTTTTTTTTTCTCCCCCCTTTTCGCTGGTTGCAAACACACTTCTCGTCTCAACTCTGTTTTTTAAACCCTTTGAATTGATGCTGCTTCTGTGCTTGACTCTGGGTTTACTGCGTGACGCCATGATGTCCACATGGCCTTTAGAGCTTGTAACGCTTCAGTGTGTAATGTTACCATATGCCTTACATGTTTTCCAGGACTAATAAAAAAAGCATAACAAAAGGGTCAGGAAATGGGCTTTTATTTCTGTGCCTATCTAAAACTGAAGAAGAGTAAAGACAGATAATGGAACTGTATACTTTTTTCTGCCAAATATTCTAAAACTGAAAGCCAATATTTCTTGAAAAAAAATCTAAACAGAGTTGTGCACAAAATGCACAAAATTGAGCTAAATGTGTTAAAAACTGTAAAAATTATGTAAAGAATCTTTCTTTTAAAATTTAGGAATAATGAAGGAAAAATTGCAGATAAAAATTTTGGATAGTTATTCACATTTTAAAAATTGAAAAGAGATCTCAGCTTCTATCATCGAACATGAAAGACTCTGTACAACGCAACAATATACACTGATATCCATCAAAAGACAAATGCAGTGCAAATGGCAATAATGACAACATATAAAATTTGTAATAGCTGACATATTATTTTGCTGCAACGTGTTGTTTGCGAGGCCTGGCGCGGGGCTACTCAATCCCATAGCTGCTCAAGACATCTGATAAGCGAGTCAGGTAAGAGGAGTCTGGGTAACCTTTCCTGAAAGAAATGACAAGAAAAATGGTCAGTTCAGATCTGTGAGCTCATATTTGCGAACTTTAGAGGTTCAGCCTGGGTTCACTCACTCTGCTTTGCCTCCCTGTAAGCTGGTCTTGTGTGGAATGCAGTCCCAGTCAACTCTGGCATCTCTCTCTTTGCCTGTTACTGTGAAGGTGAGCCCCTGCCTGAAGGCTTTCTCCAGCCGGGGCAGCAGCTTCTTTGTTGCCTGACTTTCAGGCAGGTAGGCCTCAAATATGCCTCCTCTGAATGGTTTTCCAGGAGAAGGGTGATCCTCCTAGTTATAGAAATCAAATTGAAAATGAAAAATTGTATTTGATAAATGGAAAACAAAGTCCCTTGTATATGTTTTTTCCTCAGTACAATGACAACTCAAATAATTTAGTCCATATTCTCATTACTTGGTTATCTCATTGAATAAGACAATGCCTGCAAAACCAGTTCTTTCCTGATTATAATGCATTGTCTTCTGCACAGAACTAGTTCAACTCTGACAACTGATGCTTTATTTGAGCTGCCATGTTTTGTCTCAGTGACTCTCTACTTGGGTGTAAGCTTAAAAGCCACCGAGGCAGATAAAGTCAGAGGCAAAATCTGATCTATCTGTAAAACTGTCACAGAAAGAAGGCTTTCGGTAAGTCACTCACCCCTTGGATACCATCAGGGATGCGGTAAGTGATCTTGATAACGCAGCCCTTGCTGTGACCTGGCAAACTGATGGCCAGTTTAGAGGTCTTCATTTCGCCCTGGATGCCTGGTGGCATCTGCTCCTTTTCGTGGCAAACTTTGCATGTGGCATGAACTGCTTCCAGGCACTTTGGGCACATGGTAACCCCGCACTTTGTCCTCATCAATGCCTTCCCATTGTCCCCACACACACAGATGCTTATGGAGCTTCCCTGATTTGACCTGGATTCTTTGTGAGCGTTCTGCTTTTTGCTGTCTGTCTGTGTTGCACACATGGTTCGCTCTTCCTCAATACCGTTCACCGGACTTGTGTCACTTCTGTTTGCATGCTGATCTCCAGCCTTGTGTTGGTCTACGTCCACGGTGCTTGCAGTCTTCACTTTTTCCCGAATGACGTAGTCTTTCTGTACTGAAAATGGACCAACAGATCCACTGACATCTTTGTCACAAAAGTCACTTTTGTAGGTTGTTCTCCATTCCGGACTTGTCCCAGCTTTGCCTGTTTGGGTAGTTGGCAACCCCTCTGAATTATTGTTGAGATACAGACCAGTGTGCCCGTCCGTGTGCGTTTGTGAAGAAGCAAACGAATTCCTCAAAGCGGAAGAGGGGCCGGAGGAGCCGGGCCATTCAGGCTCAAAACAAAACACTTCCCGCAGTTTGTCGGCGACTTGAGAGCACAACGGCTGAGGCCCGACCAGATAAATGCACTCCTTTGACGTGTGAATTGCAACCTTCTTGAAGCGGCTCTTAATTTCGGCGCAACAAGCCTGTAAGGTTTCGTCGGCTTTGTCGGTGACGCCCAGCTCTGACAGGAGCAGCTGCTCTACGGAGAAGTCTGAGCCCACCAACTCAACTAGCTTCTGTAAACTCTGCAGACACGATCTCACTGTGGTTGAGTCTGCCCCCTTTATGGTAACGGTCTGATTCGTACTACTGTCTTGGAAGCTCTCTTTTATCTGGACATCAGATGTCAGGTCCTCCAAACGGGTCCGGTAGGCTTCGGATATGTACTGCCACATGACCCGAGAGACAGAAATCTGTGCACTGTGGACTTCCTGCTCGTCCTTGCCTGCTGGCATACTAAAGCTGGAGGACCTCCCCCTGGTTCTGGTTGTGGACTTGCTGGAGTCGTCCTGGCTTTTCTGTCCCGCAGCTGGAGTCTTCTGCTGAGGTGATCCTGAGAAACTATTGGCTCGCTTCAAGGCTGATCCAGACCCGGAGGGTGGAAGAGCAGGGCTGCCTGACAGACTAGAATGAGCGGGGTTGAGAAGATAAGCCGAACTCTTGGGTCGAACGTCCACTCCATCTGCATTAAAAGAGGTTTTACTTTGCACAGAAGTGGTCAGAGGATGAAAATTCCCGGATTCGAACAATATGTCCCCTCCTGTGTTTAGGGCTACTGCAGTGGAGACTGCTTCACCAGAACTTGCTCCCTTCTCCGTCAGCACGTCGTGCGCCCGCATCGGTCCCTGTCGCGCCGGCCGACTGGGCGACGCGCTGGCTCGAATGGTGAAGTCAGCCGGTCGACCGCCTAATATCGACGGGCCTGAATCTTTAAACAAAGGAGCTAGCTTATACTTTTTAAGTGCTCCAGTTCTGATTGCATCATCCTCTGACCCCAGCATCTGATCTGTCCTTTCGTCTGAGCAGTCGACGGTGGAGCGTGCGGGGAGGGGGACCCTCTGCCCGTCAGCACGGGCTGATGATGACCCAGAATCGTACAGAGGGCTTCCAAGAACACTGGTTACTTCTTCGCTTTTATTTCTCTCTTCGCCGAGGTTCAGGAGAAGGCTGGTCTTGGCGTCAGACACATCGCTATCGCTGCCAATGATGTAAATATTTTTCTCGTCTTCATTCAGGAGAAGCTTTGGGAATCTGACACTTAGATTTTGCAGTGCCGCTTGCAGCCCCCCTCTGGGGGTCAGGATCATCTTTGGGAGCTGGTCTCTCCGGATCTTGGTCTCATTCTCCTGGTAAAGCTGGCTTATGGCCTTTCCGGCCAGTTTCAAGCGCTCCTGCTCAGGTCTGCCCTCTACCTCTGCTGTTCCCGCAGCATGGAGGAACAGAGTGGTCAAGCCCTGGTTCGTCTCGTCTATCACCTTCACACCATACTGACTGAGGATATTCTGGTATTCCCTGCTCAAGTGTTTCTGTAGATACTGGAACATGTCTGCATCCAAAATAAGGGAGGACTCCTCGAGAGATGTGGCGGGGGGGTGCAGCGCTGTGCCGTCTACGTTTCCGGTATCCTCCCAACCATGAACACCAGGAGTCAGGTCTCGTGTTGAACTCCAGTGGTCCTCAGCAGATGAGTGGCTCGTGCGGGTCTTCTCTTTCTGCTTGGTGGATTTTTTACTCTGATCTTCAAACACACGAGGCTTCTGCGGCGGACGAGTGGACGGAGGACAGCTCGGGTCAACCTGATCCGAGCGGTTGTTGTTTGCTGTCTCTGGACCCTTTGAGTGGCCGAGCAGCTGAGCCAAGACAGCCTGCACTTTGGAGTAGGGGCCACGCAACGTGCAAGCCCCTTTGCTGGCAGCGTGGCTCATCTGGACGCCGTGTTGACTCTTACAGATACTTGTCATTGCAGTGGCTCCCCCAGGAAGCTGCCTGTAGTCTACAGTGGCTGACAAACTTATGATGATCTAAGGCGACAGCATAAACAGCCAAAACACACTAATGTTATTATGTCATTCACATTTCAGTCGACATATTTTGCTAAATTGCAGCGAACATACCTGGTCTGGGTCCAAACTCTCGTGATGCCCCACTGCAGTGAGTTTATACTTCTTCATATCCACTTCCAGGACGTGTGAGCTGCGTTCAATCACGCTCTGTGCCACTGTATAAGAGCAGACATATGTGGGAAATCAATCACAGACTGTGAGGCCTCCTGACTAAGCGTTTCTGCCATTGACTCCTCCATTGACTGGGACACCTGCATTCCAGCTCAGTGTAAATCACTGGTAACTGAAAACATTACAACCGTTCTAATTCTAATGTGAATGAGTGCAACTAAAGTGTGTGGTTTGAAGGGTGGAAGTTAAGAGGTATTTTCTGAAACATAAGTACAAAATTCTGTGATGTAACAGACGGATATCATAATCATATATGTATAGTATAGCTGTAGTAGCAGTATATTTACACGAGTGTTACAAGAGTGTTACACAAGTGACTCAGACTCCCCAAAACCTTAAAGACCGTTTGACCCCGCTGACCTTTGCTGTCCTCAAAGGTGATGAGGGCTGAGGCAGGTGTTGCCTTGGTTAGAATGACGGAATCGATTTCCCCTCCTCCATTCTTGGCTCGGAGGAAGTGTATGAGTAACTTGTCTCTCAGCTTGTTATCCTCAACATCTGTGGGAAGACCACTCACCCTCACAGTTCTGCCGGCCTCCGCCATCTGCTGGAAACATAATCAGTGCTGTTAAGCAGAAAGTCTCAGAATGACTGGGAGACAGAGGCTCGAAATTATTGAGGGTCATTAATGTAATACGACCCCACCCTTGCAAATAAGTATTAAAAAAAACATATTTGATCTTCTAACACCCTCTATTGGGGGTTACCATGACACTACAGGTACAAACCCAAGTATTTCCATCAGTCATTCATTTTCATACTGACATTACGAGGAGGAAATTATCCTCCTCTGATGGAAACTTTAAACAATAACAGACAGCTTCCTCTTTTTGTTGTTTTGGAGTGATTTATTGGCACATTTCCCACTGTGTTTGCAGGACTGTTCATTACTTTTCTTAGTGCAATATCAAAATGACTGGGGAAACAGCACAGGAACAGATTAAGCGAACCCCCCTTTACTTACCCTTCCCTGCTTCCTTCTGATCATTCACTTGTTTGTAGGTATTTAATAATAAACCAGATATTCCAGAAACTTAGCTGACTAAACCTGTTGCTGCATTCGGACCCTTCCGATATGTCAACAATCTCAGACTATATGATTACACCAGAAGCATTATATGAAATGCAGCGGAAAACTGGAAAGGATGAGAGTGTTTACAGCCCAAAAAAATCGTAGAAGTAATATCTAAATGCGAACGGAAACGCCACATTGTAGACTCGAGTTTCGAGGAAGTGAAAAAATCAGACACGTTTCAACTGAATCTGGTTATCACAGATGCGTAAATGTTACTTAAGGCGTCGCATTTCACCTTGAATCTTCTTCGGATTAAACTATTACTGACCTTAGTAGTGTTTCATGCCCGTTTTTCTCGGTGAATTTCAAAGGTCGCCACTATTTATGCGGAGAGGTGGGAAAGTGAAACTGACTACCTGCTATTTGGTGTTTCTACGCCAGGGGGCGACAAAGTGTGTGGATTTCTGCCATGTTCAGGAGTCCCTGGCTGGTTTCAAACCCGTGGGCTTGGATTTATTGAATTAAGTGTTCATATTCAATCATGACTGAGGATATTACTGTATTTTTTCTGTATTTCATCTTATCATTTTATCTAGTCACCCTTCTTCTTTGCAACTTTAATGTGTTGATGCCTGCCTTACTCTTTATGTAATGTTTGTTTTTTTATCTTCAGTAACATGTCGTATTTAGTATATTTTGTGTGTCAAATTGGTTCATTTTGTGATAAATGAAAGGCTATCCATCATAGACACTCCCTACATGTCAATGAAGTGCAGTAATGAGAATGCACACTAGATAAATCTAAAAATATTGGAATACAAACATTAAGAAGGAAGCGGGTCTGTACAAAACAGGACAGCTTTGGTAGATTAGACAATTGTCTTAATTTAGGTATTGAATAGTTGGAATACCCTTTGCTAGATCGTTTGTATATTTTTATTATTAGATGAGATGATTAATTTAGATTTGAGCATAATCCCGAATAGTTGTATAAATATGTTAAAGTGTGCATTATTTATTTATTTTTTATTTGTGTATTGATTTGTTTATTTATCTATTTACTTTTGCTTCCATTTCGAATTGCACAAGTCATGGAGCGAGCACTTGCGTAAAGTTGGGCTGGCTGTAATGCAGTGTTACTGTGAATGTCACAAACTCTGAGACGTAGAAGAAGAGATCTATGCGTTTGTCCAATCAGAAGCTACGTTACAACATCCAGTGCGCAGGCGCCATCGAGCACATATTTCATGCGTTCTACGTCGTGTCCGGTGGAGGTCACAGTCATCCGAGCAAACTGAGGTGAGTTGGGATATTTAGTAACACATAGGTTATTTACCTAACGAGTTAGATATTTATATAGGCGCTATGACAAAACAATTACAATATTGAGATGTTTTCAACATGTCACCTTCCAGTAATTTGGTAATACGAGGGTTGGATAACACGAGCACGAGCAGACACTTTGCATGTCGAACAGCGAGTGCTAACATGCGTACATCGATAAGGCAAAACGTTAGGAATCTAGTCAACATTGGCTTTACATCTGCATGATAGCTGCTGGTGTACGTCTTAAGATGTAAACCGCAGAGCTCATTAGTCAGTTTGGCTTGGTGCTTGTCTTAGTTGCAGCTTGCCGATAAGCTAGTGCTAGTCATGGAGCTAAACTGGCTACCACCCACTGCCTTGGCATCACTCAAGGCCAAAGTCAATTGTTCCTGAGTAGAAGAGATTAAACTTGGCTTCCTCGAGACATCTTAAAGATTTCAGTTGTTTACGGTAAATGCGTCAGGATTAAAGTAAGTGGTGCGCACTAATGGTTATAAATGTTTTGCTCTTCACAACCTGCAGGTTTCTGTCATGGCCAAGTTATTTGAGTCCATTGGGAAGTTGGGGCTCGCCCTTGCCATCGGTGGAGGTGTTGTCAACTCTGCCCTCTTCAATGGTTAGTGTTCCACAGTGGCCTTGATATGCCACTGTAGTACCACTGGGGTTACTGAGGGTAGTGGCTTGTTAATAGTATCAATCCTAATGCCGCTATTTTATTTTCTAGATGTTTTTTCCTCCTAATATTTTAGTTTTTCCTTGGTTACTTATTTGGATTACAGTCCTTGTTGTTATAGTGTTATAGTCTTGTATTGAATGACCCCAGGAGGGTGCCCAAGGTTTAAATTGAAAAGGTGATCAAGTGACATTTTTCCATCTAACACGTTTAAATAGATATTTATTAAAATTTTTCCTGTTACACATTTTAGGGGTAAATATACAAAGACTGTGATGAATAATTCTAATGCATTTTATTTTAAAAAGAAAACACGTTAGGTCAATTAAGAAGCTTTCTGTGTTTTAGAAGTCTACATTTATTTAAGTTTTTTTGTTTTTATTACTATTCTTTAGTAATATCCAAATAGATTTAGTAAATAATAGGCAGCAGTTTTTTGTAGAAGGTGTGACTCAGTCTGTAGTTTTTTGCTCTGTGTATGAGATGCCTGACTGCCTGCCTCTCTGCAGTCGATGCAGGGCACCGGGCTGTAATATTTGACAGGTTCCGAGGAGTTCAGGAGGCTGTCGTTGGCGAAGGAACCCATTTCCTGATTCCCTGGGTCCAGAAGCCCATCATCTTTGATTGTCGCTCCCGTCCACGCAATGTGCCCGTCATCACAGGCAGCAAAGGTACGCAGTTAGTCTGAAACAGTTGCTTTTTCAATGCAAAAAACAATATTTCTTATGCACAAGTGAAGATAACCGCTTGGTCTGTTGGGCCTAATATGCGCCATCTGGGTCTTTTCCTGCAGATCTGCAGAATGTTAACATCACGCTGCGTATCCTGTTCCGCCCGGTGACGGGTCAGCTGCCCCGCATCTTCACCAGTATTGGTGAGGACTATGACGAGAGGGTGCTCCCATCCATCACCACAGAGGTCTTAAAAGCCGTAGTGGTAAGCGTGGGGCCAAAGGCAAAAGCTCTCTAAGCTTTTCTTTTCCGAAAAGTGAACCGTTGGACTGACTCCTGTGTCTCCTTCTCAAAGGCGAGGTTCGATGCTGGCGAGCTCATCACCCAGAGAGAGCTCGTGTCTCGGCAGGTCAGTGAGGACCTCACAGAGAGGGCGTCCACCTTCGGTCTCATCCTGGATGATGTTTCGCTGGTAAGGAGCCGTTGGGGCAATTTTTCAGCAACGATTTTGTTGTCCCGTTTGTTGTGCCGTACCTTGAGCAAAAGATCCGCTTGCTGTTCTTTTAGACACACTTGACCTTCGGCAAGGAATTCACAGAAGCCGTTGAAATGAAACAGGTGGCCCAGCAGGAGGCTGAGAGAGCCCGCTTTGTTGTGGAAAAGGTATCAGATTCAACATGCATGTCCTCTCTGTACCTAGAACGTAGCACACAGTCACTTGGGGTGGGAGAAGTGGAAGCTTAAGTCACAGGGATGACGCTTTTCATTCTTCCAGGCGGAGCAACAGAAGCAGGCCTCCATCATCTCAGCAGAGGGAGACTCTCAGGCCGCGCTGCTCATTGCCAACTCTCTGATGGATGCTGGGGACGGCTTGGTGGAGCTGCGTAAGCTGGAGGCGGCGGAGGACATCGCCTTCCAGCTGTCGCGCTCCCGCAACGTCACCTACCTGCCCTCCGGACAGGGCACGCTGCTCCAGCTGCCCCAGTGATAGCTTCCCATTCCACGCCTAGCACCCCTCTGCTGTCACCAGCTACGGCCACGGAGGGGGGGTGGTTGGAAGAGTCAACTGGGGGTTCTCTTATCTTCACAAACATTCCTCCCACTCTCTCTCTAATCACCTCTGGACTGGGCACTGCTGATAGCAGCATGGTGGGAGATGGAGTGAGAGGCTTGTAATGGATAGATTTATGAAGTTCACCATTGATTATGAAAGTAAATGGGTAAAATACTCACATATGGAAATCTATAAACGTATTACTACGGGAAGCATCGCCGAGGCAGTGAATTCTATTACAATTTATTTTAAACTCAAAGCACTGCATGTGTCAGAAAGTGCAGATTTACATCAAGGAGAATGGTGTACGATTCCTCTAAAATATGTTCAATTGGAGACGAACACATGCTGTTTTCTGTTATTGTTGTCCTGGAAAGTTTTAAGCAACTTGTGTAACTATTGTCCAGTCTGAAAGGCTCTCTTTTCAATCCACTCTCCAAAATGATTCTTCACTGATGATGTTTCCACCTTGTTTCGATTGGAATGTGCCTGACAGTAAAGGGTGGCCCTTCATTCTTTACAGTTTTTGCCGTGTCTTTGGTTTGATATTGAGACAAGCGTTTGCTCCATGACTCAGAAGCGACTGGACTTAACAATAAAATGATCTTTCTACCTCCCAGTAATCAGTCCCGTCAGTCGGAAACTTTGCTGCGAATGTGCACTGCATGACATTGGTCTTAGTGATAACTCACCACTGCATGAATACATCCAATAATGGGGCGCCATCATGAAGTTGCAATTTATCAAATGTAGTCTTGAAGCTGAGGGATTTCTCTTCTTTTCAAATGTATTTTCACACATACTTTCAAATTGAATAATGTTTGCGTGACCTGCAGGAGCTTAATAGAAAACCATGCAGATCCAGATGATAAAATTATTAAACTGCCCATCTGATCTGCCCTTCTAAGAGATAAAAATCTTTCAATTATTTGTTTCAACTGCATGGCCCCATCTTTTGGAAGGTACTGATTTGCTTCCTTTTGACAAAGTTTTCAGTTTTTTTTTCCTTTTTACATATTCTTTGCTATCCTTGTTTTAAGTTTGTTTGTTGGTTATACTCACCCCTGCCACAGTGTTTGTTTTTTAACCTTCTGAATCATTTTACTGCAAGCCCCCTGCCTTTTCTTTCTTTCTGGAATATGACATGGAGCTCTGCTTCTTTTGTCCCCTGGGACTCTATGCAGAAGCTCTGTGCCGTAGTCTGCCCGCAGATACGAGTGAGAGGACCTTAATCTGACATCAAAGTCGTACAATGGGGATGGACATTCGCTCGTATAGAGTTAGCTGTATTAGAATAAAAAAAATATATATATATGGATATATTGCATTTATCCTGTGAGGATATAAAGACATATGTTGGGGAAATTATTTAATTAATCATGGACATCCAAATCGCGCGCGTGTGCGCGTGCCTCGTCTGGCTTGGAGGGGAGACGGAATAGAATCCGGAGCCAGACGCTGCCGCGCGCGCCCAGACAGCGGCCTGGACGCCCGGGATGAGCGCGGGACGGCGGGGGCGCGCGCCACTGCTCGGCTGGGCCACGTAGCGGGGCAGAGGACGCCGGTCCGTGCAGGTATCTTCCTCCCCCCCCACCCCCTTCCCCGCTCCGGCTCGTACCGCACATTTTGCAAAACAACAGCCCCACATTTTGCACACAAAGACAGCTGTCATCTAAACGCACATCCGCCAGCGTAGAGGAGGGAGGGCGACCGAGAGGAGTGCGCGTGCAGCCCCGAATCTGTGCAACTCTGATTGCACGAGCGCAAGAAGGAGGTCGCTCTCGGCGGAGGTAAGCAAAGCGAACCGACAACAAAATGCTGCCACATTAGAGCATTTTTTCGTGCATTTCCATGGGTGACACGCGCGACAGCAGCCGGGGAGGAGCTCACGCGGGTCCCGGGTAGCCGGCGGCCGAAGCCACGGTGAGAACTGACCGCGAGCTCGTCTCGCGCTGACTTTATGACAGTCGAGTTGAGTGGGTTTGCCTGTACAGCAGTCTGGGTTTTTTTTTTGTTAGGACAGCCGCGTTCAACAATGGAGATACGCCGAAAACAAAGCGTGACATCGGCTTTTCGTTTAGCGTCGTGCGGGCCCGATAGCTGTCACACACTATCTCCAAAGTGTAGCGTCCCAATAAAGTGAAACGTTTGTGCTACACATCTGACGTTGATGCTAGCTGGAAGCTAACTAGCCACAATCTGGGCGGTTTGGGGTTAAAAAGTGAAAGTACCCTCATCAGCTTTGAGCTAATGCATGGCAGCACATGCCTGCTTTGAATGTTATAGCTTGTGCAAGGCTGTGTGACTATACTGTACGTAGATTAACCTTAATGTTGCACCTTCAGCTAATGTAGCCAAGTTAGCTTGTCATGTGTGTACAGGTTAATACCTAAAGACTACAGCTAGCTAGCCCTGTAGCCCAAGTTGGTCAGGCCTGTACAACGTTACTGCTATTCCTTGTCCAATGTTGCCTTTTTGTTTAACCCTTTTAACCCCACACAATCTCCAATTTCAGGAGTCATTGTTTTCATCTTTTGATTACATTCATTCGTCTGCAAATTATGAACTTATAAGAAGTTACTACAAATAAGCTGAGTCTGAAATTGAATCACATTTCAATAATTATCTTTCCTTGATTCAATTATAAATGATCCCATCAATGGACATCTTTGAACTATCAGGTTTGATATGATCTAATTCTCTGCAGAAATTTCAAATAAAACAATAAGAGCTATGATACTATTCTCATTTTTCATTAATACCTTAAATGATTTGCGATAGACTGAAATCTCCAGGTATTGCTCTTTGACCCGATTACGGGCTTGAGGGCCAAAATACCTACAGAGGCTAGCACCCCTGCAGTGCACCACACAGTGAGCTGGTTAAGGTCTTATGAGTTTGGACAGAGTCAGGAATGTGAACCTTTACACGATACTCTGCAAGCTGTGAAGGAGAAAGCTCATTAAGGTCTAGACTTGAGAGAGTGCGTGGATTTGTGTCACTTTGCTGCATATTAAGAGGCAAATGTGACCCATTTTGACTGCAGAGGTCTCATTTTTCCTTGACAGCCCAGGACCTGTCACCATGATCACTATTTAAAGGCATTTGGTTTTAGCTGTGAATAGTGGCTTTGCAGTAACACTCCCATCCCGTATCACACAAATTGTATGCCACACCAGCATCTATCCGGTATAGGACTGGTTTTGTGGCTTACCTTGTATGAGATGAGTTTTGCTTCTTGGTATGTCGCTGAAACCTAATGGAGGAGTGCATTAAATAGCGATTTGTTTGGCGGGGACCATTGGATTTATATCTTTAAAGACTACTAGTGTGCTTTGGATCAAACAGACTTGTATAGAGATATTCACTTCTTTTTTTTATGCAGCAGGGTGTAAAGTGAATTATTTAAAGGTGGCCAGAATAAAGACTTTCGAAAGTTTAGTCATTTCAATAGTTTTGACCTCAAGATTCGACATGATAGCATAGACTTAGCTGCCGTTGATATTGGAAGTTCTGCTTTCTACATGATTCCCACATCAAAGCACAGCAATATCTCACTATAAGCGAAACCCAGAAATGACTCATCATTGATGTTATTAAGAGGGTGGATGCATCTTACGCAGCTTTACACGGTCTTAGAGTCCTCATTTACATATTTGGGAGTTACAGTTCTCAGTAGCATTTACAGAGATTTGAAGGCGAGTTTTAGAAAGCTGTCTGTATTTTAGCGTGGGTTGAGGCCAAGGAATTCCCAGGCCATGGCTTCTCATGGAGTTCATACTGCGCTGTCATCTAGACACAGGATAATCTATTTGGCTTTGTGTCTAGGACAACCATGTGAGTTCACCCCCCACCCCCCCACCCCCACCTTCATAATGCTCTCAGAACTGCTGTCCAATTCTCAGAGAGGATCAGAGTCAGCATGTACAGGAAGACGCATGTCTTTATGTGAGGGGATAGACAGTCAGCAGAAACTACTTAAAACTTTCTTCCTAATAATGCAGAACTGCCCGAATTATTTGACAAATAAACTTGGCTTGCTTTTACAGCTGTCATTTTTTCCATTTATGTATGAAGGCAGATTGTTGGTATGGAGAATAATTCTCACAAGAGACTGAATGCTGACGTGTCTTTGGAGGGAAAAAGTGTCTGGATAAGCAAAGCTAAAGGTTTTACTTAATCTTGGCTTTTCATGTGATGTAAAACATGCATTTGCAGGCTGTGATGGTGAAATCACAGTTAGCCGGAATATTCACGGTTATGCCGCTAATTGCATTGCCAACACGTGTCCGTATTTGCACACTATCTTGCTCCTTTTTCTGACACTCTTGTGAGACCCTCACGATAATTATGACAGTAGATTAAACATAAGGCCGGTGCATCGAACAGGAGCAGGCGTTTGCAACTGAAAGCGTCTCTTGGCCCGCGTAAGTCTTCTTTGCATACAGCGCCGTGCTGTTTATTAAAAGTAGAGCATAAGCTGTTTGTGAAAAGGCAGAGGAGAGGATGTCGGCCGGCTCCAAGAAAGGAAATGCGCTGTTTGTGTATGGTTCAGGGAGGTTTTCTAGAAAAGAAACCGCCTTGCTGCAGAATGACTGGTGAATTGTAAGGCTTGTGCGAGGTCAACCAGCTGTCAGCCGCATACACCACGGTATGGACGTGCACCATTTCAGGACTCAACGCATCAACAGAAAGCCAGTTTAGCAAACTCCTGCTTTTTTTTTTTTAACAGTTAGTTTCTTTTGCTGCGTTTGGCTCGTATGAACGTGGCGATGTGACTGCGGGTTATAAAAAGTGCAGCACATAAGTTCCCCTGACAGGTTGACTTAGAGTTTCCTGTGGTTGTATTTGCAATACAAGCTCCTGAGCTGTGGTTACACTACTCTGCCTAACAGTCAATGGGAGCTGCGTGCATGTGTGATGCTTAAGACAAGCTCGCGTTTAATCAGTGCCTCTGCAGCCGTTTCATTCGGGCTTTTGGTGTCTGGAAAGCGCTCAGATTTTTGGTACGCACAAAAGAGTCGGACCACAACCGACCGAGGTAAGTGTTTATTGTTTGGGTTTCAAATTTAGGTTTCAGATACAGTGATTGCATCTGTGTTTGTCCGTTGTGTGTTGCCAGTTATGCTGTTACCAGACTTTAAATTTAACCTCCTAGAGGCTTATTTAAAAGTTGTTTTTATTGATTTTTTTCAGAGGCTTGTGGCTAAAATGCCTGGCAGACGTTTGCCGTTTAGGTCCAGGAGCATCATTGTGGAAATCCAACTGTCTTTGCATTATGCTTGAGAACGTTTCTGTTGTGGTCTGGACATATTGGGTCCGCACAGCTGTTAAAATTAAATGCACTCGCGTTCCTTTGTGAAACTGCGGTTTGGACTCCCACACGCAGCGCTGAAACGTTTGCGGACGAACGTGGCACTCGCAGTTTGACACCTGACAGAATGGCTGCAGTTTCAGGTCACAAAAGAGCGGAAGAGCACCCTCTCTAATCTGACCTTAATCTGTTTCTTCTTTGTCATATCTTCATAGGTGCTGCACAGTAAATGGCTTTCCAGTCCTTCCAGCAGCTCTCTGTCTGGCTTTCGGCTCATAAAGCAAAGTGACCCTCAAGGATACCGACTCAGAGGTTTGAATCATCTGAATTTGAAACGTATGGGACCCACGTGTGGACCGTTTTTATGTCCCTCCATCTGCCTTTCCTCCCGTGGACAGCATGGATGCCCTCTTTGAATCAGGTTGACTGTGTCTCGCCGCGTCCCCTCCTTCCTGTCTCTTCAGAAGGAGGAGGGTGGGGGATTGGTGCGACGTCCCCGGACCCGTCTTTATAGACGCGACTCGTCCCCCCCCCCCCCCAGGCACCACAGCAGCTGCTCGTTTGAATTATCTCTCTGCCTCCATCCTGTCCCTATGAAATCCTGCCAGAGCCTCAAGGAGGAAGTTTCCATCCCCGGCCTTGGCGGGATGTCGCAGGACGAGGGGCGCAGGACTCTGGTGCCCCAGTCTTATTTTCACTCCCCCAACCCAGACCTGGATCTGCAGGGAAAGGTTTTTAAAAGGGAGCTGGGTGGCAAGCCTTACTCTGTTTTAGTGGACAATAAAATGGCGGCAAAGGCGGCCATCGGAGATCAGAGCGCGGGGCTGTTGCCCTCTCAGCACGCGGCTCCGCAGCAGCATCAGCAGTACTTCAGAGAGGGGGAGGGCGGGCAGGCGGTGGGCACGCCAGGACCCCAGGCCGGCCGCGAGGGCTCCTCCGATGAGACCGAGGACGAGGAGGAAGAAGGGGAAGACTGCGAAGAAGGCTACAAGCGGGAGCAGATCATCGTGGAAGTTAACCTGAACAACCAGACGCTCCACGTGTCCAAAGGGGACAACAAGGGGGGCGCCGCGCCCGACGACTCGGAGAGACCCGTGAGCGACGAGGACGACGATGAAGATGAGGAGGAGGAAGACGACGAGGACGACGAGGATGAGGACAGTCCCGAGGAGGAAGAGGAGGACGATGAAAAGGTAGAAGAGATTGAGAGTCAGAGAGCGCGGGCGAAAAGAAGCCGCAAAGGGGCCGGCGGCGGTGGCGGCGTGCCGGCGGCGGCCAGCCAGCCGCAGCGGAAAAGCCTCCGGACGGCCTTGAGCACGCCCGGCGCCGGGATGACCACCAGGGGACGGCGGAAGCGCCTGGAGCCCGCCAAGAGCAAGCGCCGGTCGGCCAGGTCGGCCCCCTCCGCCGGCGGGGCGGCGGGGGGGAAGGCCGAGATGGAGGAGAAGGAGATGCTGGCGTGCGAAAAGTGCCCGAGAGTGTTCAACACGCGCTGGTACCTGGAAAAGCACATGAACGTCACGCACAGGCGGATGCAGATCTGCGACAAGTGCGGCAAGAAGTTTGTCCTGGAGAGCGAGCTGGCGCTGCATCAGCAGACGGACTGCGAGAAGAACATCCAGGTAACGCGGCCCCCCCGCCACTGACCCCCCTGAGGGCTATCCCCGAGGAGATGAGGGCTGCTCTGGGCTGTGTTAGGTTCACAGCCCTTTCAGCTGGGGGAATGATAGTGTGGCAGAAGGCGGGCCCTTCTGCGCCCGCCACACGCCGCCATCGTAGAATCAGTGCTGCTATGGTACATGTAAAAGGGGAAGTGATGTTTGAGTGTGAGCATGACAGGCGCTATGGCAGTTCTAACCGTATTGAGGCCGTGCGAACCTTTCTAACCGTTTACACTAAGGACTTTATTAGATGTTATCAATGCTTTGATGCATCTAAATACTCAGCTGGGTGTTTACAGCCACTTCATTAAGGGAAGAACACACTCGTCATATTCAGTGTTTTCTTTATAGTGGAAACGAGAGATAGTCTTTTTCTTCAGGTAGAGACAGAAGAATTGTGTCGTGTTGTAACTGTGACACCAAAAGCCAGAAGATCGTTTAATCAGGAGATGAGTTTTATATGAGTACCGAAAAAACTTTTGTCAGAGGCTTTTTTAACCTCCGCCATGTACACTATTTCCTGCTGGTTGCTGCCACATGTCTTTCAGAGGAGCCTGTGGGCTCAAAGCTCAACAATAACAAAATAGAAAATGTAGCCCAAAAAAGCTAATAAATACAGCGAATGCATCTTTTTCTTTTTTTATGCGGCCAGTGGCAGCAGATCTTAATGGTTAAAGTATAAGAAGAGCCAGTATGGTGGGGGTGGGGTGTTGATTGATGATTCGCATGACATCTTGGCCAGCATACAGGAAGGCATGGTGGAGCTCCTGAGGTAACCGTCTTAGGGTTTTCATCTCCAATAGAACAATGTTTTGAAAGACGGATGATTTTCTTCCCCCAGCAGAGGGAGCTCATGTTTAACTTAACCACACATGACAGAAAAATATTTTTCTTGTCTGTCTTCCACAGTGCGTCTCCTGCAATAAGTCCTTTAAGAAGCTTTGGTCTCTGCATGAGCACATTAAGATCGTGCACGGCTATGCGGAGAAGAAGTTTTCCTGTGAAATTTGTGAGAAGAAGTTCTACACAATGGCGCATGTCCGTAAGCACATGGTTGGTAAGTCGGGCCTCTCCTTCAAAATCTGGAACGCGAGCCAATAGGCGGCTCCCAATCCAGTCCAGTCCAACCACAGCGCATTGATGAGCGCAACCGAGACTTCACATGTTTCATTATGAAATTATTATTTGTAATGGTTTAAAATGAGCTCCATCAGATATGACAACTCGTGAATTAATGGAATTAGTAATTGTACGTACATTTTGAATCACAAATTCTGTTTACGACCTTAACATATTGGTCGGTTAACCTTTGGCATCTTTATTCCCCCCCGATCCAGCTCACACTAAGGACATGCCATTCACCTGCGAGACCTGCGGGAAGTCATTTAAGCGCAGCATGTCCTTAAAAGTTCACTCGCTCCAGCACTCTGGGGAGAAGCCCTTCCGTTGTGAGGTGAGCTGTGCCCTGTGGAACAACTGCGTTATGTTGGCGACTAAAACCTGTTTTAACCACACATGTGCAGCATTGTTGGCATCCCGCTGTTAAATCGAAGGCGTCGACACTTGTCATTTAGACACGGCTCAGCTTGTGTCTGATGTTCTCTGAGCTTCACCATGAAAAATCCCCAGACTCGCCTGGAAAGAACCACAATGCTGAGTGTTTCACTAGAGGGCACCGTCACCACATAGATCTCAGATTCTTTTAGTTAGGGTTTTCAATATAAAAGCAGTGGCTGGGAGCATTTGAAGACTGAGAAAACAGTCATCCCACAGAGAGGGGAAGTCTTTGAATGCAATTAATTAACTTAATGTTCATTTGTGTGCTTCACGTTCCTGGATGAGCGCACAATCAGAGCTCTGAGCACCGGCTGTTCGACAAACTACAACACGTTTTACCTTTCTGATTTCTATATGCTACTGTGTGAAAATAGTGTCAGTAACATAGAAGAGAAAAGAATCTGCCTTTTCAGACACAGTTCCCAAATTCCACAGTTAAATGATGGATTCCTACCTAACCCAGCTAAGGAACCGTGATAGTTACTTACTTCATTAATGCTGATTAGCTTTCTTAAACTCATTTAATTCCACATTTAGTTTTGATTATTTTTTATTTTTGAAGCTTTTGTGTAATCACTAAAGGCTTCAGGTTTGCTTTCTCTATTTTTTCTTTTGGTCAAAATTAACCTCAGAGTAGCTTAAACAGTTTCGGTAAATATTCCAGTTTTTAATAATAATAAGAAAATATTAGGTTTGTACTATTTTTGAAGGGAGGCTTAGGCCAGTTTATCCAGTCCTCTAAACATTCAGCTGGCTGCGTTGCAAATAAGAGCTAAAGTCTAACAAACAAATCCACACACACGCTGTGTTCCAAGTTTATTTCTGCTCCACTGGGTTACACACAGTTCCCCCTTTTAATGTAACAGACACCACACAGAGAGCATGTCTATGGGTGGGGCTGCTCCAATTAGATGTTTGAAGTTATCCCACATTGTAAGATGTCATTACATGCCTCTTAAGAGAGTATTGTATAAGCCTGTTCTCCTCAGTGGCATAGTTTGAGGGGCTGTATGGAAACTACTAAAACTGCTCCCCCTAACAGCCCTCTATTTAGTCAGGTGAGGCCGCTGAGCTTATGAATAGCTCACCTCAGGAAATTACACAGCTAAGAAAGCCTCATAGTGTAGCCACACAATGTTTGTTCTGTGTGTGTTTACTTTGGGCTACTAGCAGTGGTTATGTGTTTCCAATTAGTCTTCTGATTATTTTCATCATAAATGGATTGGCGTACACTCATAAAATGAGTCAGTCACGCTAACTTAATTGAACATGTTGAGTTTTATCTAATGGAACCAAGAACTGACAGGTTTGTGTTTTTAGCTTTTTCTTAAACTTTTAATTCAATGTTCAAGTGTTACAATACATCAGTGTTCTGCATCTGGCCCCACAATGACACCCGCAAATATTTTGGCTGAGTTGGTGTACCCAAACAAAACCCTTTTTTTTATGTTTTGCTTTAAAAGTCCCAGAAGTTCATGGTCTTTTCGGGGCGGGACTTCTCAGGCCACTGCAGCTGACCAGTGAGAAAGCGGGCCAAAGATTTCCGCAAATGTTTGTGCAGCAAGCTCTAAATCTGCAGAAGCAAATGCCACTCAACAAGACACATTATTCAACACCACAAAATGAAATGAGTCTTTTGACAAGTTACAACTATTTATAACAAGTTTTCAAATGTGGAACGCGGAGGATGTGCGAGAATCCTGGTCCAAATCAACGGACACGTTTGTGTGTTTGTGCACATAGGTGTGAGTGGGTTTGTGTGTGCATGCCTGTGCATTGATCTGATGGGTGCCGTCTGAAAGCCTCTCTTGTCCGTAGAACTGCGATGAACGGTTCCAGTACAAGTACCAGCTTCGCTCCCACATGAGCATTCACATCGGACACAAGCAGTTCATGTGCCAGTGGTGTGGCAAAGACTTCAACATGAAACAATATTTCGATGAGCACATGAAGACGCACACAGGTGAGGAATCAGTTCGGCTAACACAGAACATTTGGCCCAGTGTTTTTGGCTCTGCACAAGTGTTTTTTGTTTTTTTACCAGTGTAAATGAGAAAAAAAAGAATTCCCTGAAGGATGAAGATATACTTTCAAAGTTGTCATCTTGTGATGAGAGTTGTTATTTCAGTGTGTTTATTTAATTGAAAAAATTGTAGTACATTTTGGGAATCCGAATCACCCTCCCTGTCGTAAATCCCCAAAATCGTATATTCTAAAACTTTGCGAAACTGAGAAAGAAAACATTCTCCTGGTCCCTCTCAGCCAGCCAGGCACCACAGACGGCCTATAAAAGGAAAGGCACGGGGTGTGGCCACTTCGCCCGCTTTTTGCAATGAGAGGGGTGTTCTAAATCAAAGAGGAGCTTTTGCATATATATGCGGCTTATAATTACTACCCAGATGCAGGCAGCCTTCATCCTTCTGGCTTTCTGTCCGCGGCAGATTGCTATGTCAAAAAACAAACTGAGCAGTGATGCCGGCGTATCCTTTACTGTTTCTCTCCAGCCGTGCCGGTCGTGGGTGGACACACCGCGCTAGCTGTCCCTCAGTTATATCTGTGATGTATAATTATGCTACCCTCTCGGCTCCTCGCAGCAACCAACCAATTTAGCCTCATCCAGGAGGAGAGACACACCCGGCCGTGCTCTGTGATGGGAAACACAAATGTTAAACGGCCCGCGTTGGGTTCGGCCAGCACAGATTTTTCAGGAATTCTCATGAGCGAATGCAACAGTTACAGAAGGCTAGCACATTAGCCGTCACCTTTTCATTTTCAATTTGCGTGGAGGAGCTCCTCGCATAACGTGCCAGAATCAGGCATTTAGAGAGCCCCTCAGCAGCCTCTTAATAGATGGCTGCGTGGGTGGCAGCAGGCGCATTCAGTGGCTCCATGGAGGGAGGTTAATGAGAGCGGCATTCCAACGAAGCTGCTGTTGTTCACTTTCACGTCTCCACTCCTTCAAGTGTGAACTGTAATAGCTTCTTGCCGAGTGGGTGGGCTGACGGCAAAGACCCTCAATTCAAGATGGCATTTTATTTGCATTTTTTTGCAAGGCAAACTTTGCAGTTTGAAAAGCTCCGAGCAGTTGGTTTAAAAGTATATGACGTCTTATTTTCGGCCTGTCAAGCCGATGTCTGATGTTTCTGTCTCGCTGTGTTCTTTCTTGGGTCTGTGCAGGGGAGAAACCCTTCATCTGTGAGATATGCGGGAAGAGCTTCACCAGCCGGCCCAACATGAAGCGGCACCGCCGCACCCACACGGGCGAGAAGCCCTACCCCTGCGAGGTGTGCGGCCAGCGCTTCCGCTTCTCCAACATGCTCAAAGCGCACAAGGAGAAGTGCTTCCGGGTCACCAGCCCGGTGGTCCTCCACACCAGCGGCCCCCCCGTGCCTGTGCGCATCTACGCCAATGCCTTCTCCTCCTCCGCCTCATCCACGTCCTCCAGTTCCGGTCCCGGACCCTCAAGTGCCACCCCGGCCACCACCTCGGCGTCTCTGGGCCTCGCCCCCACCGGGGGCTCCATTCCGCCGCCGGGCCCGGTCGGACACACCTTCTCCCACGTGCAGCTTCACGCCACGGCCGCCCACCATCATTCCCACCCCTCGGCGGCCCAGCAGCACCTCTCGAACGCACCTCAGCCAGCGCCGGCTCACCCCCACCACCACCTGGCCGTGCCCCCCGTCTCCCACCTCCCCCCTCCGCCGGCTCTTTTCAAGAGCGAGCCCCTGAACCACTGCGGGCACGAAGACGGCGGCTACCTGCACCACATGGCCCCCCACGACAAAGGCCCCGGAGCCCCTCAGCACCACTGAACTGAGCCCAGGTCTGCAGGCGGCACCAGATCCCCCCCCGCCCCCCTCCTTTCATTGTCCTCTCAGTCCTGCCTCGCTTTCTCACCCACGCTGGCAGAGCAGAGGCCTTCTCCCTGGTGGGACCACGGGGGGCGGCTAGACGCGTGCGGCAGCCTAAGCAGACAGCAGCCCGACGAAAGAGGAACATGTCTGCCCCGGCAGATATGTTGCCTTAAAAACACAACGGCTTAAAAAAGAAAAACAGGCTTTTTTTTGTGTAAACACGCCTTTGCTTCTGTTAAGCAGATAACAATTCAAGCTAAGCAAACACACCTTTGTGTGTGCAAAAGACTAAAGAAGACTGAGCACACACAAAGACCCCGGGTCAACAGACAACGCTTTACAATGTTGCGCGAAACATTTTCGGAGTTCTCTTTGTTCACCAGTGGGCGTTACTCATTTTCATCCAAAGCTGCTGATGGAGGTCAACCCATACCAGTACCTGGACTTCACCGGTCCTCCAAGATCAGTTCTCACTGGACTTTCCTCTCTCTGTCAAGCTGGCTTACGGATGCACACGGGCCAGGACTTGATCTTTTTGTCCATAGCAATACTCCAGCTGTCCTCCTTTTTGAACTGCAGAAACCTCGGGGCTCAAAGAAGTGTTTATTGAATGTTGTAACTGGTTCTACCTGAGCTCCTCACTGTCCGGCGGTCAGGGCTGAGGCTCTCAGGCGGACGGGCAGTGGCTGTAGTGCGAGATGCAGTGCCATAGGTTACAGTGAGAGGGGGAGGGGAATTTTTCTAAAGGAGAAAAAAAAGATTTTTGTAAATGTTAAGTTGAATCTAGACAAAGTCGGAGATTCCTATCACGGTAAAATGGTGCTCTCCATTCCAGTACATGAAATCTTTCTTAATTGTGCTTTCCCATCGGACTTTTCAGGAGTATGAAATACAGAATAATGTATTGTGTCATACGAAACATGTCTTGCCAGCTTGGTTTCCCCGGAAATTGCAGTTTAGCTCTACAGTTTGTGATCAGTTCAGTTCAGCAGTACATAGCCTAGGCACATGCATCCACAGACGTATTCAAGCACACACACACACACACACACACACACACACACGCACACACGCACGCACCCACGGGCACACAGAAAACAAAGACCACAGGGCTGCTGATTTCCACACTGTGATCAGCGCCACCTCAGCTCTCTGTACTGTCTGTTAACGGTTGCTTTTAGATAATGGACGACTCAAATACTGCCACTGTGAGGGGCCAGGCACACGGCCCCATCAGGACTTACCCCCCCCCCCCCACCTCCTTCGCTGCTGTCGAGATGATACGGGTTACCACGTTAAAGCTCATTTGACACACACCGAAAAACACACAACTGGGACCTTGTTCAATTAAGCTCTTAACAGGAAATGTATGCATACTCTCCTCAGCCTGTATTCCACGGTTTGGTGTGGGGTGTTGCTCTAATGTAAAGGTTTGTTTTGGACTTTGTATACTGACATTCTTCGATCCACACAGGCAAGCGCATGTCTGATCCTTTTGAATGTTGCCTAAGCAGAAAGCTGAGTATTGGGCCATAGTTCTGTTTCTTTCTT